GCCCTTCACTTTTATCCTTCCCAAACCTCCCAGTCCCCCCCCCCTTTGAAACTGTAAATACATTTGGCCTTTGTTTTAAAATAGGGAAATCCCCGTTTGTCTGCATGCGTCATCTTGGTTTTTATATGCGTCATGAGAACCAATCCCACAAAGCGTAAACGCAAAACATCGAGTTCTATCCAGATTTGTTCAACTCCGTTGTACAGGGTGTTCTGATAAACATGAGATACGGTACAGGGTGTTCTGATAAACATGAGATACGATAGAAAACTTCTTTGATCACCAACTTCTAGCATAATGACAACCTAAAGGGACTGTTCACGCAATTTCACGTGACCTTCCATTTAAAAAAAAGAGTACCATGCCAGAGTCACTACCCTTTCAAGTTTTTACCAAGCAAACATGAAGAAAATGTCCTCAGTTTCTGTTTAAAAATAGATAATTTTCTCCATCAATGGTACTTGCAGATTTATGGAGCATAGACTAAAAAGCAAATTTTTATAATTTTGCATTTTTCCAGATAAAGGTTTAAAGGGAAACATGAAAATCTAAACATGTCACTTCAAATAAAGCGGACAGACCAAAAATCTAAACATGTCACTTCAAATAAAGCGGACAGACCAAAAATCTAAACATGTCACTTCAAATAAAGCGGACAGACCAAAAATCTAAACATGTCACTTCAAATAAAGCGGACAGACCAAAAATCTAAACATGTCACTTCAAATAAAGCGGACAGACCAAAAATCTAAACATGTCACTTCAAATAAAGCGGACAGACCAAAAATCTAAACATGTCACTTCAAATAAAGCGGACAGACCAAAAATCTAAACATGTCACTTCAAATAAAGCGGACAGACCAAAAATCTAAACATGTCACTTCAAATAAAGCGGACAGACCAAAAATCTAAACATGTCACTTCAAATAAAGCGGACAGACCAAAAATCTAAACATGTCACTTCAAATAAAGCGGACAGACCAAAAATCTAAACATGTCACTTCAAATAAAGCGGACAGACCAAAAATCTAAACATGTCACTTCAAATAAAGCGGACAGACCAAAAATCTAAACATGTCACTTCAAATAAAGCGGACAGACCAAAAATCTAAACATGTCACTTCAAATAAAGCGGACAGACCAAAAATCTAAACATGTCACTTCAAATAAAGCGGACAGACCAAAAATCTAAACATGTCACTTCAAATAAAGCGGACAGACCAAAAATCTAAACATGTCACTTCAAATAAAGCGGACAGACCAAAAATCTAAACATGTCACTTCAAATAAAGCGGACAGACCAAAAATCTAAACATGTCACTTCAAATAAAGCGGACAGACCAAAAATCTAAACATGTCACTTCAAATAAAGCGGACAGACCAAAANCTAGGAAGGAGGTAGGGGACGGGGGATAAATGTCCATGATTACTAAAGATGTTAGCTAGTGGAGCCAATCAGAGAAAAGACACAGCTGTAAAAAATACTTTGCTGTAAAATTTAAAAATATATTGAAGATACAAAATCTACATTCGTGGAAATTGTCCTAAACCTTGGTATTCAAATATCATGAAAGTGTACACTAAACACCAAAATGATTCCGCGCATTTTCACCGAAAGTGTACACTCCGAACTGAAGTAGTTTCGGGCATTTTTTCCACTGGTCTTTTTTCTGTTTTCAATAGAATTATATGATTCTCAGTTGTTTTTTAGGCTGCCGCTGACACAATCGTCACGTGATTAGGTAGTCTATCTACAGGGGTATATAACTTACAAAAAATGAATTTACAAAATGTAAATTTTGTCGTCTTAGCAATGTTATGATAAACGTCTAACCATTATTTTAAAAATGATTAATTTTTTGTAAATGTATATATCCCTGTTTGCCTGTTAAGTCTAGAGGTGGTATTTTTCGAAAAAAGTTTAATTTAAAAAAGTTTTTGCCATTGCCAAGCATAACAAATTCAATCTGAAAAATATTTGTGAAAATACCACCTCTGTTTATAATAAAGTGAGTAGCAAAAATGTCCTAAAAAAATTTGAATTAACGATATCGTATTAATCTAAACTGCGATAACAACAAACTTTAAAATTTTTCTAAATTGGAAAAAGTTTTGTATAGTTTACCAATTGGTACATGTACTTAGGTACTGTACCGTGTATTCATGTACTATGTACTTTAGGTACAGTAAATCATCCAGTTGTTTCCAGAAAGTTGATAAATATGTTGGAAGAAAGGTCGATGTCCCAAAATTTCAGGTAAATTTTATAGATTATTTTTAGCAAAAATAAGTTTAATCAAAAGTTATTTTTAAAAGTTTTAAAAACACAAGCAAAGTATATTTATAGATCAATAAATCCAATCAATCAATCGAAAATAATAACGGAGAAATTTTTACTGCAAAATTGTATTTCTTATATATTTTTCTATTCTACAGATTTACTATATATGTTTTTGTAATTTATGTAAATTGTTTATTACTGCAGAAATTGTTTATCCATGCTTGAATAAATATTTAGTTTGCATTGCAAACAATATTTCTAACTATGTACTGTAATGCACAGTAAAAGATACAAATACTTGTACTGTAAGAAATACTAAAAACTATGTACTGTTAGGCACGTAGTGGGGGGGGAGGTACCCCTAGAATGCATCCCCCTAGGCCCCCCCCCCTCCTAGAGCCAGAGGCAGGCTCTAATTTATTAAACAGTAAACTTACATATATGTACTCAGGTTTTGTACTTTTCTTATCAATCGACAATGTCACAATTTGTCCATTTTATGATTATTTCTCAAATTCTTTCTTGTACCTTAATCTTATTTACAATATTTTTTTCGCGGGGTTTCATTTAAAATCCATTTTAGTCTCTCAGAGCAAGATGATTGACGCAGAGTTTTATTCAAATTTTTAAGGTTTTTGCTCTTTTACTATTAGATTTTATAATGGTATGATTGGTAATTATGGTCAAATGACTAATAGTCAGCCTTCAGGTAGATTAAAATAGATTTTAAACTTTATTTTTACTTAATACCGGTTTTTTAGGGGGGTGCACATCAACCGTTAGGAGGGTGCACAATTTTTTTCTTCTCAAAAGTGCACCCCCCTAGGCTAAACCTCCATTACACGCCTGTGCAGTGTACTGTACTTCACTGCTGAAAGTAAAAGAAATTGTACTGCATTGTTTAAACTATTAATAACTTTGTAATGCACTGTAAGAAATTTTAATAGCTATTAATTAAATAATAAGTATGTACTGTACATTGTAAGAAATAATAATAACTTTTTAAAGCACTGTAAGAAATATTAATAAATGTGTACTGCACTGTAAGAAATATTATAAATAACTATTTACTGCACTGTAAGAAATATTAATAACTATGTACTGCATTGTAAGAAACATTAATGACTATTTACTGCACTGTAAGAAATATTAATAACTATGTCCTGCACTGTAAGAAATATTAATAAGTGTGTACTGCACTGTAAGAAATATTATTAGCTATGTACTGCACTGTAAGAAATATTATTAGCTATGTACTGCACTGTAAGAAATATTATTAGCTATGTCCTGCACTGTAAGAAATATTGATAAAAATGTCCTCTTCTAGGAAATGTTACAGCTTTTCTTTACAATCGGGGGTGAATTACAACGTAATGTGATTTCATCACTTTTACAACAGGTAAACCAGACCAAACCAAACCAAACCAAACCAAACCGAACCGAACTGAACCCATGATAGATTAGCTTGACATATGGAATTTAATGATTTTCCCGAATTTTCCTTAAACTTGATTTATCAAGATTAATGGAATAACAATTTCTTAGAAAAACACCGCCTAGCAATATAATCACAAATGTTGAAATGTTTCTTCAAATTCTCGAAAGATGAAAATAATAACATATGTTACAGTTGTGATGTCAGTTATGTTTATAAACAAACCCCAGATTTGGTTATTTCGTACTTTTTCATCCAAAACTTTTTGTTTTCTCAACTATGTTTCTAGTCCTTTTAAGTGTGCACTAGTTACGTTTTTAGTCCCTTTAAGCGTGTACCAGTAACGTTTCTAGTCCCTTTAAGTGTGCACTAGTAACGTTTCTAGCCCTTTAAGTGTGCACTAGTAACGTTTCTAGCCCCTTTAAGCGTGCACTAGTTACGTTTCTAGCCCCTTTAAGTGTGCACTAGTAACGTTTCTACTCCCTTTAATCGTGCACTAGTAACGTTTCTATTCCCTTTAATCGTGCACTAGTAACGTTTCTAGTCCCTTTACGCGTGCACTAGTAACGTTTCTAGTCCCTTTAAGTGTGCACTAGTAACGTTTCTAGTCCCTTTAAGTGTGCACCAGTAACGTTTCTAGTCCCTTTAAGTGTGCACCAGAAACGTTTCTAGTCCCTTTTAAGTGTGCACTAGTAAGGTTTCTAGTCCCTTTAAGCGTGCACTAGCAACGTTTCTAGTCCCTTTAAACGTGCACTAGTTACGTTTTTAGTCCCTTTAAGCGTGCACCAGTAATTTTTCTAGTCCCTTTAAGCGTGCACCAGTAACTTTTCTAGTCCCTTTAAACTTGCACTAGCAACGTTTCTAGTCCCTTTAAACGTGCACTAGTTACGATTTTAGTCCCTTTAAGCGTGCACCAGTAATTTTTCTAGTCCCTTTAAGCGTGCACTAGTTACGTTTTTAGTCCCTTTACGCGTGCACTAGTAATTTTTCTAGTCCCTTTAAGCGTGCACCAGTAACTTTTCTAGTCCCTTTAAACGTGCACTAGCAACGTTTCTAGTCCCTTTAAACGTGCACTAGTTACGTTTTTAGTCCCTATACGCGTGCACAAGTAATTTTTCTAGTCCCTTTAAGCGTGCACCAGTAACTTTTCTAGTCCCATTTAAGCGTGCACCGGTAACGTTTCTAGTCCCTTTAATCTTGCACTGGTAACGTTTCTAGTCCCTTTACGCGTGCACCGGTAACTTTTTGTACCACCTTCTCTTTTTCCGAAACTGTAGTTGCGCATTTTAATTTGCGTCGGAATATTGAAGTAAATTCATGCGTAAACTTATATCTATCCATCCATCTATCTGTCAACCTACAATCTACCTTTCTATCTATCTATCTATCTATCTATCTATCTATCTATCTATCTATCTATCTATCTATCTATCTATCTATCTATCTATCTATCTATCTAACTTTGTAGCGTCGTCAGCAATATTTCCTAGATTAAGTTTGCGGTCTTTCAAATAAATTTCATCTATAAATAGATGTTTACAACTTCACGTATCGGCTAAAACGTCGTAATTAAAAATTTCATCTTTCTTTAATCTATCCAAATATTCTTACTTTCAAACCTACCTACCTACCTACCTACCTACCTACCTACCTACCTAAAATCTGTTTATATAATACAGTTAATTATAATCTATATAAATACTTTGCTTGTCTGTCTGTCCGTTTGTATCCAATAAACGTCAAAACGGCTGTAACGATCGGGCCCCAATTTTTTTTGGGACCTCACATGACCCCAAGGAAGGTTTATGAATGGTCAAAATCTCAAAAATTAGCCTCCAACAAAAACCGATTTTCATGAAAATTTTGTAATTTTTTTTTATTAAATCCGCTATTATTGTTTGTTTTTGTTTTACAATGTATACAAAGAGAAAATGTTCATAATTAAAAATGAAGATGGGCACGAATAAAAGTTAAATCAGCTGAACCGATTGGGCCCAAATTTTACTTGACCCCAGGAAAAGTTCATGAATATTCAGAATTTCGAAAAGTTGTCTCCAAAAATTTTGAGATGCTAGCAGAAAGAGCCACAAAAATAAATAGAAGATGGTCGCGAAGCGCACTAAAAACATAGTACAAAGAGAATATGCTCACAATAAAAAGTTGAAAAAGAAGTTAGACTCAAATCGCACTAAAAGCATAGTATCTATCTATCTATCTATATATCAATCTATTTATCTATATATTTATTTAATTATATCTAGGTGCGACTAATGCAGCGCATTGTTCTTGATCTTGAAGGATTTAGATTCTACTCAAGCTCTCTTCTAATCGTCTTCGAAGGTGAAAGCTAAAATAATCAATCAATCAATTAATCAACTAATTAATCTAATTATCCACCATTTAATCAATTGGTAAATTAAATAATCAATCAAATTAATCAATTAGAATAAAATAAGGTTTATTACACAAAAGATCAATTTGATGATTTAATAATTTTTCTTAGGCAATCATTCAACTAGCGTTGTAATTAATTCACAAAAATCAATTAATGATAAAATAAAAAAATGAACTAATTGATCTGACAGGTGATCTAGCTGAGATCTCTGAGGATGAATATGAGGATGATCAAGTAGAAGATCATGGTCCCAGCTTCTATCAGAAACCTCCAGTTGTTAAAATTATTGATTTTGCAAACTGCACTTATCCAGGCTTCACCAAGGAGGATATAATTCATGAAGGTAAAATATTTTTATAGAAAAAAAATCTTCATATCATTTCAAATCATCTATTTTATTTTTCGAGAACATTCTCTTTTTACATAAAATTTCAAGTGCCCTGGGCCCCCTCCCGCTCCATGCGTTTAAAGAATTGTATGTTCTTTTTTCACCGACATGCTTTGGACTTTTATTTGATCCAGGATGAATGAGGTATTCATGTTTTTCAGCTGAAAATTGATTATTTCCAATTGTGGTTTCTCAAAAAAAATCATATCCGGATGGTGTAAAATTTTCAGAAAAGAAAAATATGGATATCTTTCTAATTGTTGCTCAAAAACAGGTTTAAAGGGAACCATAGTAAATCGAAAATGTTACTCTACAAACTTGAAATTATCTCTACAGTCTCTTTAACACAAAAACAAGACGACATTATCCTAAAGTTTTTTAATTTCTTTTTCCTCTTGTTATAGGTCCTGATTCTGGGTTTCTGTTTGGTCTGGAAAATTTGATCGAAATTCTAAATATTATCAGACAATCAGAAGAGTAAAATATATTTACTAGTCTTCTGCTTAGGTTCCATAAGTCCACGGAATTTTCCAGTGTCAGCTTCATAAACCTCTGCTACTCCATTAACCTCCTTTGTATTTCCTTACACCTCCTTTGTAGCTCCATAGACCTCAATTGTAGCTCCATAAACCTCCTTTGTAGCTCCATAAACCTCCTTTATAGCTCCAAAAAAATACCACAGCTCCATAAACCTCCTTTGTAGCTCCAAAAACTACTACAGCTCCATAAACCTCTGTTCATTGTACATTGCACAGTTACATTGTATGTACAGTTCTAACTTATTTTGCTGCAAACTCGTCATATTTTTTTCTAAAATCATTTTGGTGTAAAAACACAAGAGGGTCAGTCTTTCAATATGCTGACAGTATTCTTGAATATATTTTTGGAATTTTAGAAATATTAAAAATGTATATAAATAGTAAAAATGTTTTTTTTTATTATGACAGTATTTTTTTAAAAATTACTTGTATTTAGGTCTATCAATAATTTAACTGTTTTAACTTATTAAAAAATTAGATAAATTAGAACCTCATATATTTGTTTAGTGTCATATTGTTTAGTTATCATATGTCTAGTTTTTTTGTATTTTGAATAATTTAGTTAATATATTTTCGGACTAAATCCAATCTAATGAAATTAAACTCATGTAGATATTGTGTACAGTCACTTATGGTTATTTTAGTTTTTATTATTTATTTTTATTTTTAGGGAATAATTTAAATAATTTTTAGTTTAATCTTTTTCTTGTAAATTTTTAAAGATAGTGCAACGGATCTCATGAGACGAGAAATGTAAACGAAAAAAACTGAAGAATATGTATTTTTTATCTAATATTTTTGTATCTTATGAACAATAAATTATAGGTTAATAATTGTTTTGATTTTGTGTCATAAAATACAAATTTTGGGATTTTTTTTCATGGCAATTGAAGAATGCATTATCTACGAGTTTATTATATTAACTCTTTTTAGTTTATTTTCCCTTTCAACATTTTTTTGAACCTTTAACGTATATGAAGCCATAGATTACTGTAGTTAAAGTAGAAGTAAATAAAATAGGGATTCAGAACTCTAATTGGATAATGGGATAGATAGAAAGATAGATGTTACCGCCATACTATTTCTATTGGTTCAGAAAAGACACCAAACAGGCGCTAATGGAATCACATAGAAGTATATCTAGGTACAGGGTGTCCCAGGAAACATGACAGTTGGTGAATGGTTTAAAATGTCTTCTTCCATCCTTTGTTAAGACGTTTAATAATAGAGATAATAATAAAAATATTGTATGGGAGTCATCTTAAAGTAAAATTAATTTCAACGTAAAATATATTTGAGTAAAAGATTGTTTTAACAAAATAAACTACAAAAAGCCTCCAATGTCTAATACAGTAAATGGAAGAAGACATTCAAAACTGTCATATATGATGGGACACCCTGTATTTAGATATGTAGCCCGTCGAGGTTATATAAATAGAGAGCTGCAAATATTTTAGAGTAAGATAATTATCTGACAACATGGGGTGCTTCTTGGTAATTTTTTTTCTTGTCAATAGCTTGCTCGGAAGTGGTACTGCAGATATGGGAGAAAAATAGGATTTCAATCAATTCATCGATGAAGAGTAAACTCTCATTTTCTCGTTTTCACTGCTAGATGTCTCTCACTTAAATTTTATCCGTTGTTAGAAAGACGACATTTTCCTTCAATCAGAGCGCATCCAGAGTAATTAACCTTAATACTTTATACCTTGCTGGAGACTAAATGTTTGCAGGGCAGATGAAAAACGGGCCTGTATTTCAGTGAGAATTGAAAAAAGATTTTTTTTTGTGACATGCTCCTAGTAAAAATCAGGGAAAGGAAATGGCGCTGGTCTGGCATGAGAAAGCCAGTCGCACTGCATTGCAGACCAGTACTTTAAACTAACACACACTCTTTTGGTACAGACACACCACATGATTACAGTCAAGGAAATTGTAGAACAATCTCGTCGATTATAATTAAACTTGAATAATGAGTAGTTTATTGTAAACATTAATCAAATTATATTCTTTGCATGAAAATTTGGCTTTATAGTGTTATTTTTGCTTATATTTTGCTATTTATTTTATATCGCAAAGGTTATCTATTACGGAGGCAGAAGAGATTTAAGTTTTACCAAAATAAAGTTTGACATCATTCTCATGGGTTTGAAGATTCCAATATGTTGTAATCATTGCAATACTTTTGCCAATCCATATTCGCCCTAAAGAAGCCAGATTAAAAAAAAATAATTTTATCTACGAGAATAGGAAACTTTAAAACACATAATAATCAAAGGACGAGAATTCCGAGGTGGCTCGGGCGAGAAAATGAGGAGAACGTGGCTTGGACGAGAAATTGTTGTGGCTGGCCTTCCTCCCCTAGTTCATGTTTCAGGTTGAAAAATCTAAAAATATAGATACTTATTTAAATACAAAACTATTTTAACAATTGGAAAATGTGTGTTATGTTTTATTCATCAATAGATTTTTATAAAACTTTAGAATGGAATAGAAAACTTATTATTTATCGATTTGTTAAAAAAGAAAAATGGCACAAATTTTATTTCGCGTTGTTTGTGTTAAAAAATTTGCCCAACTTTATTTTGATATTTTTAAACTTAAAACATAAACATTTTCCTTGTGGTTTGTAGCCTAAAGTTAATGCCAATATTTTACTCATCAGTGAGTAACACAAAAAGAACTGTACCTTCGCCACAAGTTAAAATTTTCTAATTTCTATATCTTTGCTACCCAAAGTTTGTGACAAAGTTTCAGTTCCTTTGAAATTTCGAAGTTTTACACCATCTGGTTGTAAAGATATATGGATTATAAGATTAGAGTTTGTGACGTGTCTTCTGTTTAGTTTAGTCATGACTTTGCTATAGTACATCTTAAAGGAGTCTTTGCACATTTTCATCAACCAAAATTTAAAAAGAAAATCCACCGGAGGGTCAGTTTGTAAAGAATAAAAAAAATAACCATTAGGTAAAATATTTAAAATTATTGTTCCACGTGCAAAAGTGGCTTGCCTTGAATTTTACCCCATTTTATGAAGTGCCCAAAAACCTTTTTATCTATCAATCTTGTCAAATACACATTAATGTTAAAAAACTAATCTTCAAATCAAACATCAAACAACATATTATGTCGGAAACTATTGGATGAAACGATTGAGAAGCTCAGGATCGGGGGAATTTTTTCCTGAGGGTGGGGGGCTTATCCTTAACCATACTAAATGAGTTCTCATATAGTTAATTTCTTAAATTTACCCGTAGNATTTCAGCAAAATAATTATTATTTATTTTTTATTATTTTAGGTTAAGTTAGGTTAGGATTGATTTGATTTGATTTGATTTAGGTTAAGACAATTTCTGAGCCGAGCACTGCGGCTAGGACAGGCTTGTCTTAGGATAAAAATAAGCGAAAAAAATAAAACAAAAAATCTAAAAATTATTTTTCGTTAAAAAAGTTCAGTAAATCTTAAGAAATGGCCTGGATCCGGATTTTTTTCCAGTGCAGATCCAGGATCCAGATTCGCATCAAAATTAAATGGATCCTTAGCACTGGTTATCATAGCATATTTGTTTTAGTAGGATTTCAGGCAGTGTTTAGGATCCATTTAATTTTCATGGCGATTCGGATCCGGATCCTGGATCCGCACTTGAAAAAAATGGATCCGGATCCTAGTCATTTCTTTATGACTTAATGAATTTTTTACTAAAGCAGAATTTCTAAGTTTTTGTCTTATTTTTGCTAAAACTTTATGACACATTAAAAAATCAGGAAATTTTTATAATTTCTTTTTTCGTTAGTTCAGATTTGGGTTTTAGGAGTAAACAAGTTTTTTTTTGTAGTTTTTGGTTGATATTTTACCCCTTGGATCCGGATCCATGGATCCACATATTTTTGCGGATCTGAATCCAGATCCAGGAAGCCAAAATCTTGCGGATCCGGATCCTAAGCACTGATGATAACATTTGTAATAAAAGCCCCAGGATTTATTTTTCCTTTTTATCCTGACAAGTTATAAGGACACTTAAAAATGGAACCGAGGTTCTATCACAAACTCTGATTTTCTAAACCATATATTTTTGCAATCCCATGTCGTAGACTTTAGATATTTCACACAATGAATTCTGTTAGATCAAAAATTCTAAGTCTGAGATGTCAAAGGTTTCATCCTTAGCTTGCAAAGATATAGAGTTTAGATAATTTGTGCTAAGAACGTTTAAAGAGTGTAACAAAGATATCAATATTACTAAAAAAATTGGCTTGTTATGCTTTAGAACTGGATTCACATCATTCTGTACTCAGATGAGGTTGAGCTAGCTAATGCAATATGTATTAACTAAACTAAAAAGATTGAAAGTGTTGACTTGATTATATAACTTTCAAATTTTTCAAAAACTTTTTAACAGTTTGAGAAATTAAACAACATACTGGACAATTCTTAATGTACTGTAAACGATTTTAGTGTTGACTATATTATATAAGCTTCAAATTTTTCAACAACAAACTAAAAAGTTTGAAAAATTAAACAACATACTGTACAATTCTTTATGTATTGTAAAGTGTAAACGGGAAAAAAACATTAAATAACTGATTTTTTTTTGGTTAAAAATAAGCGAGATTTATGCTGAATATAAGAGATTTTTTGGTTAAATTTAAATTATTTTTTTTTGTTGAAAATAAGTGATTTTTTTTAATACAAGAGATTTTTTGGTTAAATTAAAAGATTGTTTTATTGAAAATAAACGAGTTTTTTATGTAAGAGATCTTTTGTTTGAGTTAATACGATTTTTTTTAAATAAGCGATTTCGTTAAAAATAAGCGTTTTTTGTGCTAACAATAAGCGATTTTTTTGATGAAAATAAACGATTTTGTGTCGCTTATCGTATTTTTCCCCTCATATTTTTCTTAAAAACGAAATAAATTAACAGTCTTTACACATGCTCCCTCTCTCTCTGTCTTGTAATTCATTTGGACTTCTGGCTCAGGGTCATTGTGAACGAAAAAACCCTAAACCTTGAAAAGACGACTTCTAGTGTTCTATCTGTATTGTCATTAATCTATGACTTGCAAGACTTTATTTCATGCAAGAACCCTAGTTAAACACTTTGATAGATTTTAGATTTTAAGAGCTTTAGTTCATTATAATTTAGGGGAACCCCGTACTTCTAACGAACAAACATATAAAAATGCGATATCAAAAAAATCTTTTTTCTTTTATTTAAAAATAAAAAAACATCACAGCTGTTGAAAAAGTAGAGTTAGATAAATTCTAACTTTTCAAGTTAAATCATTTTTTTCCGGCAATAATCCACGATGATTTAATTGATTGGAGATTGATTAATTTCTTTGATTGCTTTAATTTGATTTGATTAATTAGCAGCTTTTTTCTGTTTCTTCATCTGATCAAGGGCAGCTGTTTTCTCTTTAGCCTTTTCGTAGATCGGTAGCAATTCACCCCTGCTAGCTAGAGACCTAGATAGATAGATAGATAGATAGATCGGTAGCAATTCACCTCTGCTAGCTAGAGACCTATATAGATAGATAGATAGATCGGTAGTAATTCACCCCTGCTAGCTAGAGACCTATATATATAGATAGATAGATCTGTAGCAATTCACCCCTGCTAGCTAGACATAGATAGATAGATAGATCGGTAGCAATTCACCCCTGCTAGCTAGAGATAGACAGAAAAATATCTAAATAATGAGAAAGATAGATACATAGGTAGCTGAAAAAAATATAGATGGACACATATATCATAAATAGATAAATAGATAAATATGTATATATCTAGAACGAGAGATATATAAGTAAAACTAAATAGATTGATATAAAATCTATATAAATAAGCTCATTGCTCGTAAATATATCGCAAGCCAAACGGCTAAACCAAATTGGAAATTTTTTCTTTAAAAAAAAAAATTCACGGGCACTTTAGCTAGTATAAAAGAGAAAGATATCTAGATATTAAGATATCTAGAAATATAGAATCTAGATATCTAGAAATATAGAATCTAGATGGATAAAAAATCAATGAAACAAAATTATTGACCTGAAAAGTTCCATAATCAGAGGAAGGTAATTATGTCGTCTTCGAATATTTTCAGTTCTCCATCTAAAAAATATTATTAAAAAAAACCTAATCACATCTAAAATGTTCTGCTAAATTAATTAGACATTATCGATGCAATTTCAACCTACATTCAATGAGCCCGATTCATAAAGATATCCTTTAAACTTTTGTTTCCGCAAAATTGATTAAGATATCTTTGTTTTTCTATCCGAAAATGTTTGATTTTCAATTGTAGTTTCTCGTTTAAATGAGAGAATTATTAATCTGATAAAGGTTTTGTTGACGTAGATGTCAATCGGCCATATAGGAACTTTTTTTACCATACATGAAATAAGAACGATTTCTGATTTAAGCAAAATTGCAAATTCTATAATGAAGGCGAAAATTCAAGTTATCATTAATAACTCCATTTCTGATTTATAATGCTACCCAACTCCTTTCTCGGACTGACAATGAGGAAGATATCGTCGTTTTACTTCAAAACATCAAATATAATTAACTCAGTTTCCCAAGTATATCTCTTGTATAAATCTTGAAGCCAATGTTATAAGAAGTAAAATGGAAAATGGATCAATATTCCGATATAAAAAATACTTTCACATAATCTTAGCTCGGAGAAAGGTTGAAAGGACAGGTCCCACTTTAAATGATAATCCGGACTGGACAAACACCAGGCTCGAAGATATTTAGAAGACGACGTTCTATAAGTCAATTGAAGCCAAGAGGATACATATTTGTACAATTAAGATACATTAGTACCCCTTGCAATACAATTTGTGTCATTTTATAACGTAAATATTTCCCCAACTCGCATAGTTTAACTGTAATGCTTACCCCACCTCGCAGGAATAATAAAAAATATTTTAAATGTCGTCTTCATATTTCTGATTTTCTCTTGTCCTTGTGTTTATTCTGTCTGTATGATGTGATGAATGGTCAGCTTAAATTACATGTACAGTTCCTTATTATCTGACCTTGATCTACGGGCTTCCTCGTCAGACAACATCATCTCCAGCCTCGATACTTCAGGACCTCCAGCCTCAAGAAGCCTAGGGAGGATTGATTTGATTGGATTTGGTTGGATTTGATTGGCACGGGATTGGGATTTGATTGATTTGATTGATTTGAGTGATTGATTTGAATGATTTGATTGACTTTATTGACTTGATTGACTTGATTGATTTGATTGATTTGATTGATTTGATTGATTTGATTGATTTGATTGATTTGATTGATTTGATTGATTTGATTGATTTGATGAAAAAATAGACTAATTTTTCAAGATTGATGGATAAATCAATGATATTAGATTGAAAGAAGTTTTATATCAGATTGATTATTAGCTAGCTTGCTTGATTAATTAATTAATTGATTGATTAATTTGTTGACAAGTGATTAATTAATTGTATATTCTACTCCCAAGGAAGAAAACACCAGAAACCACCCATAGCTTTGTTGGAAAAGTGTAAAAAGTTTCTGATAGAAATGTAAACAGAACTGAGTTTGTAAAGAAGCCGCAGCGCTCGGCCCGTTAGCCTATTTATGCTGCAGCGCTCGGTCTGTTAGCCTATCTATGCAGCAGCGCTCGGCCGGTTAGACTATTTATGCCGCAGCACTCTGCCTGTTAGCCTATTTATGCGGCAGCGCTCGGCCCGTTAGACTATCTATGCCGCAGCGCTCGGCCCCATAGCCTATTTATGCCTCAGCGCTCGGCCCATTAGGGTATCTATGCTGCAGCGCTCGGTCCGTTAACCTAATTATGCCGCAGAGCTTGGCCCAGAAATTGCCTAAACCTAAATAGTCTCGCGAGGTTGCTTACAAATTTCAGAAGGAGAGGAGGTTTGAGGGGAGGGTGTCCTGAGCTGCTGTTCCAAGATGAATCCAAGGAAAGATATGCTAGTTCCAGGTGTATATTTCATACCTGGTATATTTCTGTATTTTGTCCTCCACGACACCCATCAAGTTAAAATGAATCTCTCCCTCCTTATACCGCTGCATCCTTTGCTCAATTATTGGTCTAAAAATAAATTTAAATGTAAGCGTAATTCTAAGTGACCCAACATGCACAGATGATTCACAACCGTACCCTTAAAGGCTTTGACAGATCAAGAACGAATTAGATATCAACGTTTATAATTTTGAAAACTGAGTATATTTGATTGTGGTTTTTAAACAAAAGTGAATTGCGCATTTGACTACAGGAAAACATGCATGAATTATAAAAGTTAACTCTTTTCAAGCTGGAAAAAGGTTTGTAGGGTACCTTGGTTAATCGGGCATTGCCATCTTTGCATGTAGCAACTTGAAATTTAGCTTACAGTCCCTGTAAATGAACAACTAAAGTCCCTTCAATGTGATGCCGACCTTACAGTGTCAGTCCAATTCTCTCCTGCAGGTCCATGGTCCACTGGTCCTTCCTTCAGTCCATCAAGCTCATAGATTCGTCCATCAATAGGTACATAACTAAATAGATTCGTCCATCAATAGGTACATAACTAAATAGATTCGTCCATCAATAGGTGCATAACTAAATAGATTCGTCCATCAATAGGTGCATAACTAAATAGATTCCTCCATCAATAGGTACATAACTAAATAGATTCGTCCATCAATAGGTACATAACTAAATAGATTCGTCCATCAATAGGTACATTACTAAATATATTCGTCCATCAATAGGTACGTAACTAAATAGATTCGTCCATCAATAGGTACATAACTATTTAGATTCGTCCATCAATAGGTACATAACTAAATAGATTCGTCCATCAATAGGTAAATAACTAAATAGATTCGTCCTTCAATAGTTCAGTAGGTTGATTTTAGTGTTAGATACTCATGAACCCGATTGCTTGATTTCGATATATACTGTGGGTACCTTTATATTTGAGGATCAATATCAGTTATTACCTAAGGGTAAAATTACACTTCCGATATCAACTGAAGATTAGTTTATAGATTAACAAATGGTGGAAATCAAGCATTGATCTCGAACTCCACAATACAAGAGTTAGCAGCTCAGGAAAAGCTGGGTTCCCGAACTAGTGGAAAACAGGTCTTACCTGACAAAGTGAAATATCTCATCATCATCTTTATCCGGTTTCTTAGAATCAAACTCAAACAGGGTCTAAACAGTTTTCTGGGTTAAAGGGACTGTTCTGTTTTACTATATGTGATTTAAAGGGGTTTCACGGTCTTTTGACATAGTTTTCGAGTTTGTCGCTTTACCCTTTAAACACTGTGGAAAAAAATTATATTTTTTTCTTTTCCTTATCTTTGCTGCAAGTGAAAGCGCAATTAAGAGTTATCAGCTATCAAACAGGAAAACAATGATACTCAATCATAGATAAAGGACACCGTGTAAAACTTAAAAAGAAAAGATTTGAACAAGCTGGAAGTGATGCCGATTTCAAGTGACCCTCCAATAGCTCCATGGCTAACGAACCCCAAAAATATAGTTCTAAAACGATTGTTTTTAGCATATATTCTCTCTCAGAGTGAAATTTTGGCATAGTGAGAGAAAAGTTAAATGTTTAGAAAAAACTATTTTGAAATCAGAAAATTTTTTGTGGAACCTCTAATAAAGTTTTTATAGGGTACCTTTGTCAATCACGACATGCCAATTTGTAAATGGAGAGTCACTTGAAGTAGGTCTAAAGTACCTTTAAGAAACCCCCCCCCNTGTATCTGTATACAGATAGAGTTTACAATCACAAAATTGATGATTATATTAACAGTACAAGTATAAAGCAATTAGGTGGAAAATAGCTCTTGGCTGTTTTGATTATTTTTTCCACCTAATTTTAATAATGATAACAACACATTTCAATTAAATAGATTTAAGGAGAACTTTTCGAGATCAGGGTGCGTTTTTATCTTATGCAAAATAGTTTATACATTAATTAGAATAACTAGAGTTTAAAGTAATTTTCTGACATGTAAACAACAAATATCAAAGCATATTATAAAAAAAAGACTAAATCTCACCTGTCTGGAGAAGGAATTGTGAACAGTGCGGATCTGAAAAAATAAAAATAAAAAATAAATAATTAAACAAATTTTAATATTTTTAAAAAATTAATCCACTTAATTTTCTTCATGAATCTAAAACCAGGGATTTATGTTTAATTGACAAATAATTTTCCTCCTAAATTATATTTTGTCCTAATATGGTAACAAGTTGAAACTTTAGATTTTTTAATGTACATTATGCTCATTATGTACATTATGTTCATTATGCTCATTATGCACATTATGCTCATTAAGTACATTATGCTCATTATGTACATTATGTACATTATGCTCATTAGGCTCATTATGTACATTATGTACATTATGTTCATTAGGCTCATTATGTACATCATGTATATTATGCTCATTATGTACATTATGTACAATATGTTCATAAGGCTCATTATGTACAAAATGTACATTATGTTCATTAGGCTCATTATGTACATTTTGTTCATGATGTACATTTTGTACATTATGTACATTATGTACAGTATACTGTGTACACATTATGTGCAGTGCACTGTGCAAAAATTATGCACATTATGCACAATATGTACAGTATACTAAGAACACATTATGTACAATATACTGCAAATTAGGATAAACTTACAGATTCTGAATTAGAGAGAGTCAACCCTTTCATCCCAGCATCAAAGGAGGAACAGAACTCTTTAAAATCCTAGAAAATAGAGTTCATTATTGAAACTGAACTGTGAACACGTAACTTAAAGCGATCCTTAATTTCTGGGGCTTGTCCGATTGACAATGGTACCTTTTGAACATTTGTCTGAGACAAGAATCAATAAGCTGATTTCTTCGTTTTTCTTGCTTAAAATTGATTATTTATATTTGTAGTTTCTCTGTGAAAGTGACAATATATTCCTGCGTGTTACTATGACAAAGTTTGAAAGAGTACAGCTGTGAGAGCCTACTCAAAATCCCGTCTTCAGTTTCTTCAAGCTAGCAGCAAAACTCAAGTACATCTGGAGAGTAAAAAATATTTCTACAAGGGGAGAACTAATTTACAATCATGATAAAAAAGTCTGTTTACTTTACGACATTTTGTACATTATTTAGGGTTCCTGTGGGTTCTGATCAACGAGGTTATAGTATATAGAGTGACGATGTACGCTAATCCTTTACTAATTTGACAGGCCATGTACTTCACTTCCAAAGGTCAATCTGTATATTACAGTACTCGGGGGTGATTTCTAAAAATATTTAAATGGAGAATTTGTTTCCCCTGTAACTATTAAAATCCACTAATCCTTTAGCGTATGCAGGATTCCATTTTCACAGGAAGACAAACTATAACAGTCTTTTACAGAGCTATATTTCATCGTTAATAAACTGTTCTGAGAAAACTGAGTAAAATTCAAGATACAAAACCTCCCCATACACTTGTACGCCGAAAGCGTACTGCATATTTGATATTTGTACTGTATGAATAGACCATAATCTCTTAACATCCTTTATCAGTGTACACTCTGGCAAATATACAGGGAGAGGTAGCTAAGATCTAGGTGAACGTATAAAATGCCTTTTTTTGCTGAAAAATAGGTGAATTTTTACTAACATAGGTATCAATGGTAGTTAGCAGATACTTTTATTTTTTTTTGTAAAATCTTGATAAAAAAAATATTTAGCAAGAAATTCAACTTTAAAATCTTTAAATTGCCTCTTTTTTTCTTTAAGGCTTGCTTAAGTTTTTTGTCTTGGAAGTGACGGTAGTTTGAAAATGAAAAAAAATAATAAATGTTGAAATTAAGATTTTGAAAAGTCAGTGGTAGTGAGGGTAGTTTTTAATTTAAATAAAAATCTTGAATAAATGTTGATAAAAAAGTTTCAACTTGTCGGTTGTAGTGAGGGTAGTGGGGAATCGAAAAATAAATTATTGAATAAATGTTGAAAAAAAAGTTTCAACATTTATTCAATAATTTATTTTTCAATTCCCCACTACCCTCACTACCACCGACAAGTTGAAACTTTTTTTTCAACATTTATTCAATAATTTATTTTTCAATTCCCCACTACCCTCACTACCTCCGACTTTTTAAAATCTATATATCAACATTTTTTTCAAATTTTTTTTATTTTAAACTACCCTCACTACCGCTGACAAGTTGAAACTTTTTTATCAACATTTATTCAAGAATTTATTTTTCAATTCCCCCCTTATATAAATAATGTAAATCATGGGTTCTGTTTTTTTCTTTGACATTTTTGTTCTTTTTATTTTTCAACCGATTTTTCCTACTTTTTTGCCATATTCCCTCTAATATACATTTATTCAAGAATTTATTTTTCAATTCCCCACTACCCTCACTACCTCCGACAAGTTGAAACTTTTTAATCAACATTTATTCAATAATTTATTTTTCGATTCCCCACTACCCTCACTACTGCTGACAAGTTGAAACTTTTTTTATCAACATTTATTCAATAATTTATTTTTCAATTTGCCACTACCCTCACTACCTCCGACTTTTTAAAATCTATTTATCAACACTTTTTAAATTTTTTTTTTATTTTAAACTACCCTCACTACCACCGACAAGTTGAAACTTTTTTATCAACATTTATTCAATAATTTATTTTTTAATTTGCCACTACCCTCACTACCTCCGACTTTTTAAAATCTATATATCAAAAATTTTTTCAACATTTTTTTTTTATTTTAAACTACCCTCACTACCACCGACAAGTTGAAACTTTTTTATCAACATTTATTCAATAATTTTTTTCAATTCCCCACTACTCTGAGTTCTATCATTTATATACAAATCAATACACATCTTTATTTTTAAAATTTAAATTATTACTACTTTAACTACCTTCTATTTACCTGACACAAAGCTAATGTGAAAAATAAGGCATTTTATACATACAGAAGATCTAGCCCCCCTGGTTCTGATCGAACTTTGAAAGTTTTAAGTTGTAGGTCGTTTTTGATCTTTGGCGTGTATAATAACGAAGAGCTTATAATTCGGTTAACCTTTTATATAAAATTAGATCTAAGATAATCTCTAATTTGTATCTGAACTCTCATGTTTCTCTTGACATCTTGTAAGTTGTGGGAAGCTAGTGTTGAAGACTTAAATCATCAAACTAAGATGTTTTTTATTGGTTAAGAAAATTGATATGTTTTAATTTTAATCCCAAAAGTTGTATATTTAATTACCTAAATTGGCATAACCCTGAACTAAATGTAGTTTTCATAAAGTTTTAACCCTCTTGAAAGCGGTGTTTGACCGTTCTAACCTGAAGTGTTGGTCCTAGGTTGACCCCTCCGCTACTAATATTCATCAGAACACTCAGTATAGCCTGGGTAGCGCAGGCATTGTTGATAACCTAGAAAAACAAAATAATGCAATCTGAGAAGAAACCAGTTTACGGAACTCCAATTTGTACAAGCCGGTACATGAATTTACCGGTACCGACCGGTATATCAGCACAGTCCAATCTGTATTGTCCAAATTGTCATTGTCATTGTCATTGTCATTGTCAGCATTGTTATTGTCAGCATTGTCATTATCAGCATTATCATTATTATTATCACTATAATTTCTTGTCATAATTATAAATAGTTTTCCACATAATGTTTATCGCCCAGCCACATATGTAATAAATTAAAAAACATAAAATGTTTTTTTTTAAATTGTTACACCTGTGCTGTAAACCCTGTAAATACAAGTAAATATATTTCCCCAAAAATATAATTTTATTATTTATAAATTCGAGATAAAGTTTGAAAAAAAAAAAAAATCAAAAAAATCATGTTTTAGTTGAAAACATTTTATAGTTTTATTTCCAGCTGTTTAAATATACTTTTCATAAATGCCAGTTTATGTCTCTCTGTCCTTTAAAGGAACTGTGAGCATAGTTTCAAGTAACTCTCCATGCAAAGATAGCAATTCCAGATTCACTACATGGCTTAAAAAGCTTTGTGTGATTAAGTAAGAATTAGCTATCCAAGTTTTTAGTTATTTTCAATTGTGGGTTTTCTAAAAAAGTGAATTGCGCATTTCTATTGCTGGAAAACATGAACGAATCATCAGAATTTTAAACTTCTTTAAACCTAGAAAAACGACAATATCCTGCAAGGTTTCAAGGGTATCGTTGTGTCGTAAATCGGGCATTGTCATCTTTTCATGGTAGGTCACTTGAACTTACTCTTTCAGTCTCATTAAAGGGACTGCTCATGTAATTTCAAGTGACAAGCATGATGCATGTCAGATTTATAATGGTAAATTGTCTAGTGAAAGAATGATATATCCTTGTTTTCTATCTGAAAATTGGAAACTTGGTGTGTGGCAAGTGACTGGTGAATTTCAGCAGCAGAAAGAATGAGATTCGCAAAATTAATCACTTTGAAAAAAATTCCGGAAAACGACAATATCTTCCGCAAAGTTGATCAGGATGAAGTTTAATCTATCAACAAATAAAACTTTTGAATTTTTGAGAGAAAACTTGTGAAAATCATTTTTGTTTTGAAGAAGGTTAAAGGGCATTTGACTTGTAACTCCTTTAAAAATTACGCCTACAATCCCTTTAAGAATGCAGATCACGGTTCGTTCAAGTAATGTAAACTAGCTCAAGTGCCCGGCGTTGCCCGTGGAATTAAAATTTGAATTAAAAAAATTGAAATTTGAAAAAAAAATATTTGGAATTTTGAAGATTTTGTTTAGCCTTTGATACCCCCAGTCACCCATTGGTTCTCAAAAAATTTAGGCAGATTCGGTCCAGCCGTTTGGCCAGCTATAGCTAACATATGTATATATAAGCGAAGAGCTTTAATATATAGAATAGATTTAGTTATGATCAAAGATAAGAAAATATTCGTTACGGTATTACGGCAAACCCAAGGTTATAATGCACGGAAAGTTAACTGCAGTTGCGTATACTCTGCGTACATGTTGAAACCAGTTCTCTCTGGGCGGAATTTGTGAACAAGAATAGATGCAACAGTGTTCGTTTGTTATCCGAGGAGGTTAAATTTAATTAAATGAAAATTAATTAAATTTTGATAATTTTAATAATTCACTAAATAGTTTCCTATGACCAGAATATTTCATCGATTTTTTATGTGAAAGATGGATCCCATGTAAGGCTTCGACATCCGTTATGTATTTACATTACCGCCCAGAGACAGTACACTGCAGTACAAAAGATGCGTACACCTCTGAAATAACTTTCCTTGCATTATAACCTTGGCCAAACTGAGCTTTGAACTAAAAAACAAAAAACATCTTGATTCTTTATACATTCAACCATTTTGAGCATCACTAAACCTTTCCTGGGGTCATGTGAGGTCCCACACAAAATTTGGGCCCAGTCGGTTCGGCCATTTTGACGTTTATTGGATACAAACTGACAAACTAACAGACAAGCAAAGTATTTATATAGATTATAGTAACTGTATCATGACATGTCCACTGTTCAGAAATGAAAAATGAAATGGAATAATTCTGAATTAAATCTTGCATTAGCAGAGTTTCCGCTCTACGGAACAGAATCACCACATGGTAATATGTTTTTAAATAAAAAAAATTAACTTCTCCACAATTTTTCTCTTTCACTAAATTTGATGCAAAAAACTGAAAAAGATCTTAAACATATTCACAGTTTATATTAGTTCTGATATTTCTCTTCAATGTTGGATGACGAGTTATCATAAAAGGGTGAAAAGACCGGAATTTACCAGCTTCGAAAATCAATTCGATTACTTGTGAAAAAGAAATTGCGGTATTTTGTGTACTTTATGTTGTAATGAATAAATAAATGATCAAATAGTACTCATTAGTATGGGACAAATCCATTGTTTTAAAACTAAAATTATTTTTGATACTCAAGCAGTCAGGGACAGTAAATTTACCCCCCACCCCCCAATCATACTTTAATTCTAAAAAAGATTTGTAAAATGATAATTGTAAAATGATAATTTTGTAATTTCTCTAAAAATATATTTATATGAATATTGTTGGTTAGTTTGACCATTAAGCAGGGAAAATCTATCAATTAAAAAAAATAAAAAAAAAATCCGTAATGTTTTTACTTTTATGATTTACGAAGAAAATATGGCGGCTTAAGAAGTAATACGAATTAAAGGGACTCCTAACCTATTTTAAACGATCCAAAATTAAAACCTTTCCATGCCTGCTTCACAATGGTACCCTTATGCCCTTATTTGAACTTCCAATTAGAATTGATATGAAATTATCTCAATCTTCTTTGTCCGCATGTCACTTTTAAAATACAAAAAGCAGAATATCTTACTCATCTATAGTCAGACAAAGGTTTGATCTGCGGGTACCGTTGCGATTCGAGCATGGCACTTTACATGGAGGATAAATTGAATTAAGTCTACAGTCCTCTTAAAAAATTAAAAATGTTAAAGTTTTAAGATTCTTTACTGTTTAGTTAAGTGAAAAATGCTTTAAAACCTGTTATAAATGTCTTATTACAAGGAATAAATTACTTATTAAAAGTTAAAAATGTAATATTATTAGCAAAAAATGTCTTCTTACAAGCAATAATGTTAAATGTTAAATGTCTACTATGCTATAAAAGGCAATGTTTAAATATGGGATTTTTTTTCTTAACAAAGAATTTGACATAAAAATACATTCTTATCATCTAATGAATTATTGACTTAAAATTTGAAATGACATAATAGTTTAACGTCCCCAGAAAAGGTTACAAAAAATTAACAATTAACATAGCTAAAACTTCTGGATAAAAATTCTTGATATCTTTGTTCATTATGCCAGTGCAATTTCCGTTTTCAGTGCCAGTGAACAAGTTCCATATTTTTAACAATATTTACTGTTTATTAGATAATAATTTGACCTAAACCCTTAAATATTTTTATAAAAGTTCCTTGAAACAATTGTGGGAGTTTAAAACACAAATTTCTTTAATAATCATGTTTAACCAATTTAATTAATGCATTTAGGACAAAAATAACTGTATTGTATAAAATAGATTAGAAAACATTAATAAAATTAAACAATTATTTTGATCACTCGTGACAAAGCCTTAATTATCCTGAATTACCCACTCTTAAAATGTATATAGTGTACGAGGGAGGGAACCTCCGGAAGCCATGAGCCTCCGCTATGCAGTCACGAGCCTCCCAGATTTGCTAGGCATAGCGGAGACTCATGGCTCATGGCGTCAGTGTACATTTGCAGGGTGGTAAACTTTTTTTCAGACTGATTTATTTTTGACAAAAACATAGTAGATTTAAAAATGGCAACTTTCCCTCTACTTTTTTCTTCCTTCAAATAATTTATTAATAATATTAAAATACATCATGGTGATTTTAACTATTTTAGTGAAAATATTTTTCAAATTGTTTAAACATCAAGTTGAATTTAAATGGTTGTCCCAAAAAGAAACAGCACAGAGACACGCACTGTTTCTTTTTATATTTGGAAAGAGAAGCTATATATTCAAATAATCGTTATTTTTTTTAGTTTTAATATCCAAGACAAACCAAAATAGCGCTGCCCCAATTGACACCAGGTAGAAATTAAATTAATAAACATTAATTTTTCATTTTTTGTAACAGGTTACAGTTTATTTATTTATGTGATTATTTGTATCTTTATTCAAATCTATAACAGTTGCGAAGTAACCATCTTTAAAAATAGACGGAAACAATTTTGTCAATTTTGTTTCTTGTCTCTTAGGTATAAACCCTTAAGTCACTCTTCAAATGAAACTGTCATTAAAACCACGGCTTTAAATTAACAACCAAAAAAGTTAAAGAAAATAAAACTGTAATTTGTTAGTTTTCTTTTCTTTAACTTTGCAATATTTTTATCCTAAAAGAAATATTGGACAACGATAAAAAAAACATGTTTGTTTTTGCATAGTTTTAGATCATTTGTGGACCGTTTACTTTCATATATCTTCTGTCAGGAACAAGATATGATTTAGTGGAAGAAAAGCAAATGTTTAGGATGAACAATTTTGAAAACGTTGCTTTTCTTACACTACGCCAAGTCTTTAAACTGAAAGAAATTATAGGCAAAAAAAAACCCCAAAAAAAGACCAACTGGATGCAACATCACAACTTAAACTGAGGACAATCTTTTCCATGAGACTATTTTAAAGTGTAAAGGTGAGCTCCCACCAAGCTCCTGAAGATGCAATAACCTTTGACGAGTTTGTGGATAGAAAGTTCTCTGCAAAGTCCTTTAATGGATCCTGGTGGTCCGAGGAGGAACTACAATGGTCTGATCAGGTTAAATTTTTCTTTCTTTAAATTCATTTTAAATAATTCTGAACACATTTCAAAATTGATTAGATATATGGTTTTAGAATTAAATGATAAAAAAAGGATGAGACAAATATCAAAAGTTTTACCCCCTTCATTATCATTAGGATTTGCAGAGGAGAAAAAACGTTTTCAAAAAAAAGTAATCTTGGGTGTGTTGGGTATTTTACCAAAATCAAATTCCCAAGTAGCAAGTTCCCAAAATGTGCAACTTCCCAAAGGTTAGGTTAGGTCATCTGAGGCGCTGCAGGCTGCAATTGGGACTGAACGCAACAGCTAGGATGTGCTAGAGAGCCAAGCGCTGCAGCTAGGACAAACTTTGGAAGTTGCCATATGGGAAATTGCACATTTGGAAAGTAGCCCCTGGGAAGTAGCACTTTGGAAATACCTATCATCGTCTAAGAATGTATCAGTCACCTTAGGATGAAAAAATTTTCTAACACAATAAGAGTATTAGCTTCAAAAGTGCCTACTTATTTACTTTAAACAGGCCCGAGTATCTTCATGCCATAAAGCTTCATGAAATTTGGGTGAAATTTTAATGTTGATTTAAACTTTTTTTCAGAATGGAAATCTGGTTGCCTGGAATTTTAACACCAATGAAACTTCTATTATTGTTTCAAATGAAATGCTTGCATCTGTCTCCAAAGGTGAATCAGTGGCTATGCCTAACTTTAAAGTTCAAAACCTTTAAAACCTTGTTATGTTTAGGCACTAAGTTCATGGGATTTTCTGGTGACAACACTATGATATTATTTGCATATGAAATAAAATCTGTCTGGAGACATAGTTTTACAGCAAGATATTTAGTGCTTGATACAACTACAAACAAGGAACTGAGAGATACAGTTGTCAACATGTCTTTTAAGCAAAAATATTTGTAACTTATGTTTTGAAAAGAGTTTAAGTTTGACAACCTTTCTCTTGAAAAAGACCACAGAAATCCTAGCTCCTGATGGTGGAAATACCCTTCAATACTGTGACTGGATTGATCAAGGAGAATTTGAAAGTGCACTGATTTATGTATATCAAAATAATCTTTACTTCAGGTAAAATGATTAAATAATAACAAATAAACAATATTAAACACAAACAAAGTTGCAAATTGTGGTCTATCAAGACAAGCACACACATTTTTAACTGGAGCTAATTTGTAATTGAAGAAAATTATCAATTTCTTTTTAAATAGGAACAATGCGATTGAAGAGGATGATATTGCTATTACTGACGATGGAGTTATTGATAATGTTTTCAATGGAATTCCAGGGAACATATTTGCTGAAGGCCTTAAGAATGGCTATTAAAGCTCTCAAAGATTTTGAAACCTTCTTTTTTAACCATAAGATTTAACTTTTTTTAAATGAATTTATAACCTGTTGGCAATGTAAAATATGAATGTAGATTGGGTTTACGAAGAAGAGGTCCTAGCTTCAAATGATGCTCACTATATAAGCCCTGATGGCTACAAAATAGCCTTTGCTCAATTTAATGACACACTGGTGAAGGATTTCAAATATCCAAACTATGGAGATCCCAGTGATGTTATCAATGCTCAATACCCAACATACAAGTAAGATTTTTAGATATCAATAATTAATCAGACATAAATTACTTGAATATTTTTCAGAACTGTGCGTTATCCAAAAAGCGGGGAAACCAATCCCATTGCAAAATTGTTTGTTCGGCAATTTTCAGAAGAGAAGAATAAAGATGTGATTCCTCCACAGAAAGTAATAGACTGGCAAAAGTACATCTTTACTGATGTGAATTGGATAACAGAAAACAAATTAAGGTATTTTAAAACTTAATTTAGCGCTAATTTTCATATTTTTAATTATGTATGAATTTCAGTGTTGTATGGATGAACAGAATTCAAAATGAATCAGTTCTTTGTATCTGTGAAGAAGAAGCAGTTTCATGGGAGTGTTCAATTCTTAATTCAGTAAATCAAGAAAATGGTTGGCTTGAGCCCGGAACACCATTTGTATCAGATCTTACAGGAACAGCTGTAATCACAATTCAGTCAACACTACAGAATGATAATAGACACTATCCCCATGTTGTCAAGATAATGATGGATGGAACAGTTGTTCCACTGACCCAAGGCTATCTTGTTGTGACTGATATATTGGACTGGGATGAGGATGAAATGGCCATTTATTTCATGGGAACAGATGACCGTAGTCCAGGTTCTAGACATCTCTACTCAGTGGATGAACATGGAAATGGGTTTTTGACTTGTTTAACGTGCAATCTTAAGGTAAACATAAATTATTTCAGCAAAACCAAAGTTGCTAAACAAATTTATTTGATCATCAAATAATTTTTTTTATTTCAGAGCTTGGCAGGGGGTGTCTGCGACTACAATGAAGTTTCCCTAAACTTTGAGAGTACCCACTTTGTTCATATTTGCAGGGGAAAGGTAAAATATTTAAGTAATGTTGAGCTTTAATTGTTAAATATTTGAAAACTTGATGCTCTAAACAGTACAAATGAAAGTTAAGGAAAATAAATGAATAATGATGGCAGGAAAATGTATTTAGAAAAGTCTCATAAATTTTAATCCTATGCATATTTCTCAGATTTTAAAATTAAAGAGTTTTAAAAGCCCAAAATCAGAAAATCATATATTTTTGGTTCCATCCTGAGGGGGATTTTTTTGTTAATTATTATGTATTAGGATGTACAAATATGTATTTGGAAAATATCTCTTAATTTCTCAGATTTTAAATGAAAGTTTTAAACAGCTCAAAAACAGAAAATTTAGTTTGAGAGATAAATTTCATTGTTCAATTAATTATCACATATACTGCCTTAACTAGACTGCAGTGTACACTGTATACCTTCATTATCTTAGGACATACCTGAAGTAACATTAAGAAACCTGCCTGATTGTGATATTATTTACAAATTAGAAGAAAACAAACCACTAAGAGAAGCTCTTCAAAATAAAACTTTGCCAACAAGAATTGACACAACATTCAATGTTGAGGGAAATTTTACTGCACCAGTAAAGATATCTCTGCCTCCACATATGGTTCCTGGTGAGAAATATCCCATGATTGTTTATGTTTATGGAGGTCCTGGTTCACAAATGGTTGATAAAAGGTATTTTAATATTTTTTTTTTGATTTAAGGAAACTTTTTAGTTTATCTTTAAATTTAGGTGGAACATAGGTTGGGGCGAATATCTTGCCACAAGCAGAAATATCATTTATGTCAGCATTGATGGACGAGGAACAGGATTCCAAAGTGACGAGCATAAGTTCCAAGTTTACAGAAATCTAGGAACAGTGGAGATGGTTGATCAGATAGCTGTTGCCAAGAAGCTGGCAGAAACATATGACTATATTGATCCAAGTAAAGTAGCCATTTGGGGCTGGTCATATGGAGGATTTGCTACAGCCATGACATTGGAGCAGGATGTTGGACCTTCTCCAGTATTTTCTTGTGGAATTTCAGGTTAATTTGAGACAATATTAGTATTAAACTTATGTTATCCTTAAACTAATTTTGTTATATTTTCAGTTGCTCCTGTAACTAGTTGGCTCCTGTATGATAGTATATACACAGAGCGCTATATGGCTCTTCCTTCGGAGAACATGAATGGATACAATAATAGTGTCATTAATGGGTAAAGTAAACATTTTCAGTTCAACCCTGTTAAAAAATATATTTTCGAGTTTAAAGGGAGTGTTCGTGAAAAATGAAAGGGGGTATAGGCTTAATGCGATAAAAAAGCGCTTTTGATCACTAATAATCTTACTTCTATCTGTTGCGTCTATAAGGAGAAAATTGTTAAAGACGTCTCATAACGAATAACTTAGAACCCATACAAATTCAGAAAATTGCAACATATGACTTAGACCGTAAAAAAATCAATTTAATTTCAAACAAATCATTCAGATATTACAACCTATAGTCATCGATTATCTTTCGCCACATTTGTATATAGTTAATATTTTAAAATATTTTTTAATTAATTTGTTTTGAATTTGATTATTTCTCTTGTCGCTTGCGCAACTATTTAAGAATGCCGTGCACCACTCACATTTTTCGAAATCCGTTAAAACGTTTTCTAAAAAAATAAAATATTATAAAATATAAACTATATACAAATGTGGCGAAGGATAATCGATGACTATAGTTTGTAATATCTGAATGATTTGTTTGAAATTAAATTGATTTTTTACTGTCTAAGTTGTATGTTGCAATTTCTGAATTTGTATTCGTTATGAGACGTCTTTAACAATTTTCTCCTTATAGACGCAACAGATAGAAGTAAAATTAGTAGCGATCAAAAGCACTTTTTTTATCGAATTAAGCCTGTACCCCCATTTCATTCTTCGTGAACACTCTCTTTAAGTCAGAAAACCTTTCTATCAAATCAGATCAAAAACTTAATATTCGACAGGATTGATAACTTGAAAACCAAGAAGTGGATGCTTAACCATGGCGTGGCAGATGACAATGTTCACTTCCAGCAGACAATGTTACTTACCAGGTATATATCTATCTAATAAACAAGACTCTTCCGCTGTTAATGTAAAAGGTGACTAGACAATCCCCACTTTAGTAATGCATTCATAACCAGGCTTAAGGAAAGCTTGGAGTCCTTTAACTATAAACACATTTAAATGTCGACATTATTTTCAATGTCAAAATTTTTCTATTTTGACTTGGGGTCATTCTTGAAGGCACAAATTTGGGCCCAATTAGTTCCGCAGTTTTGATGTTTTGGATACAAGACAAGCAAAGTATCTATGTAGAAGAGATGGAGGTGCACTTTACAACTGGAGTCAGAAGTTACATTTAAAACTTGTAAATCAAATCAAACCATACTTTAAGAGACAAACTATTACAACATTTCAATCCAAAAGTGACATTACTAAATCAAGAATTAGATAAGACCTTATAGTCTTTAAATGAATAACAATATTAATTCTTACATTCATGATAAAATAAAATTTGTATAGGGCTCTAGAGATAAAAGATATTCAATTTGAGCAACACTCTTACCCAGATGAGAATCACAGTTTAGGAGGGGTTTCCAGGTACTTTGAAAAGTTTCTTAAATTTTTTCAGTGTTTCGGATCCATATCATTTTGATTTGGATCCGGATCCGGATCCGCGGATCCGCATCCGTGATGATGGATCCGGATCCGGATCCGAGGTAACTTTTGATTCTGTGAATCGGATTTTCCCTATTAAATGTTATGCAAGGTTATAATTTATAAACTATAGTAATCCTAAAGTTAAAAATGTCGTCATTACTATTATATAAATGTAAACATTAAATTATTAAAGATAATTTTGAAAAATTTTCGTCATGTAAATAATACATTTACGAACCATTTTGATTTATTTATTCCATGGTTTTGGTTAATTTTTGGCGCTACCCGGATCCATATCAACGTTTCCTGATACGGATCCGGATCCGACCAAATGATACGGATCCGACCGGATCCGGATCCGAAACACTGAATTTTTTAATTGCGCTATTCTTACTTGATATCATTATTGATGTGCCCTTTATTGTTAACTTTTGGTCATCATTCCTTAATGGGTGTTTGAAAAAGTGAAATAGAGTACAATATAAATCTGCAGCAAGTTCACTATCAATATGTAAAAATCAAAGTTGCTGGAACTAATACAAACTATTTTCTTAAGTTGATGTGTTTGCTGAATCCTTTTTCCCTTTTTAATTTTTCACAGACACTACTTTTTATATATCTTATTTACTATTCAGGTTTCTTTATCATGCAATGAATGATTTCTGGACCCGATGCTTCAATCTCTGAATCATTTTTGTGATATTAATAATGCACTCCAATACTACTAATTGTTCCAAGCTCAAAATAATGAAAATAAAGTTATTACTACTCTGAAAAAATAAGTCCTACCTGCTTAGCAAAGAATATTTTCTCCAACCTGAAAAAGAGGACAATCAAAGGGACTGTTGACTTAACTTCATTTGACCCTAAGAGGACAATCAAAGGGACTGTTGACTAAACTTCATTTGACCCTCAATCAAAGAGTTCTCAATTATAACCTTTAAACCGTTTAAATGATGATGGAGTTATCCTTGTTTATCTATCTAAAAACTGATAAAGTATCATTGTCAGATTCTCTATAAAAATGACTTCTGGAATTGACATAGTTAATTCTTTCAAGAAAAATAAACCAATATCTTTCTCACTGTTACTCAGAAACATATTTAAAGAGTTCTGTTGAGAATCAGGCAAGTAATTCTTAAAATGGAGGAACACTTGAAATAGTGTTAACTGTCACTTTTACAAATCATCTGCAAAGAACTGAAAATCTTAGAAAAAAACAAATTTTAAAATGTGGCCAAAATGATTTTTTTTTTTAAATCGAAGAATCCATTTCATTGTGTAAAACAGTAAGGCCATTTTTTTTACAAAATGGAACCAATGCAATAAATGATATTCTAATTTTGGAAAAAAGCTTGAAGGTATTCTAGAAATATTAACAAAAAATGTGTACATATTGAAAATCAAAGTTAGAATTATAAACCAATTGCTAAACTCGGGCTCTGCCTTGAAATTAATAGAGAAAATAATTGGAAATAATTATTGCAACAAATTGTTTCACTTTAATACTTCCATGATTTGATTTAATCTATAACCGCAGTTTTTGAAAATATCGGAAAGAATGTTTTATTATGTCCCATGTTCACGGTATTGACAAATCTCTTAGAATTTAAAAATTAAAAAAAAAAACATGTTTTCTCAATATTTATTCATGTTAAAATATCGTGTGCCTGTGCTCAGTGCGCTGGGATTTAACAAATTAAGTTCTAATGCAAAGCTAAATCTTAAACTCAAAATTTTCCAATTCAACCGGTCTTAACAGTGCACTGCACACAGTACATATAACACACATTTTTGGGTTAAATTCATAAATTTTTTCAAATCAAATTAGTCAAAACAGTGCACTTGCGTACAGGCGAGAACAAAGGAGTTGGGGACAAAATAATTGATTTGGGGACAAAATAATTGATTTGGGGACAAAATAAACGATTTGGGGACAAAATAAATGATTTTGGGACAGAATAAGCGATTTGGGAACAAAATAAATGATTTGGGGACAGAATAAACGAAATTGTTGGACTCAATTCATGGTTTTTATTGGTTCAATAAAGATGCATCAGAATAATTGTGCAATGTAAACAGACCCATTTTATTTTCAATCTATTTAGTTGAATTTTATGAAAGGAGGAAAGGAGAAAAATTAGAAAGACTGTTAAGATATATATTTCTTATAATGTTCCTACCCACAATCTCAAAATCAAAATATATATGTATATTAGGCTTGTCTGTTTGTATACCAGTTTAAAAAAACCCTAGTTCGTTTTTGTCTTTGTAACTCTCAAATATAGGTTATTTTTACTACTTGAACCTTGTTCCGGTCAACTTATTTACCTGCACAGACTCTCGTTATTTATGGATCTTATAAACCTGGATAGGTAGAGAGGGTAGAGTTTGTGATAGATTTATAACGACATATTAAGCTGATAAAGTAAAAGTACGGAGTTTGGCGTATCAGGACACCATTAAACGTCAAAACGGCATAACTTTTCGTGGCAACTTACATTAACCCTCAAATAAGGTTTATGGCTAGTCGAAATTAATAAAATTGTGCCGGTGAAGCCAAGAAATGGAATAGGAAAACAACGTTTAAGAAATCTTACAGCAAGTGACCTTTTTAAAATAAAAAAGTTTGAAGACCAGCAGCTTAAAAATTAACTTCTTGTAAATGGGTCTGTGTACACTGCACAAATGCCGTGTTTCATGTGCAATTCGGCTATTTAAGATTATTACTTCAGTCAAAAACTTTTTCAAGATTTTTTTAGGGCTAACTGTATCAATTCTTATTCAACTATTTCATTGAAAATATCGAATCAATTTTGGACTAGTATACAAATTATACAGTAGAATAAAAAGCAAATTTATTAAAGAAAAAAATTTAAAAATCAAATATTTCAGTTTCAATTTTGGCGAAATTTAGGAATTTGAATCACACAAAAAATCAAAGATCTGAATGAGTTTGATACAGTGAATCCCAGATTTATGAATAAATAGCAAGAGTTTTTATAATGTCGTATTACATTTTTAAGATCAAATGCCGCGGAAAAATTAAGTATAATATTAATATATCAATGGCATATTTCGGGCCGGCTATTAATTTATTTTGAATTAAAAATAAAAAGAAGTTTCTTTAGAATTATCAAAAACTTATGACGGTCTATCTATGTATTCATATATCTGGGATTCACTGTACTTCTCCTTTATCTTTTCTTTCACATATATTAAAGAAAACTTTAGAACTGGTGCAAAGTGGATTTGCGCATTTTTATCAATAAGTGCCCCATAGTTTTAGTTTTCACCCTGTGTTTATGTTTATGTTAGGATTATTTTCAGGACTCCTGGAGGAGTATATAAGAAAATTTCCGATTGTTGTCATGATATTGAATGATTTACCCTGTGATATAAAAACTGCACCAACGTTAAATACTTTTAAATCCAGATATGATGAATATGTAAAAAATTTCTAATCTAGTTTATTTTGTTGGGACAAAAGGAGCCGAAAAAAGATTACTTCAAAAGAAAACAGAAAGGCCAAATAAGAAAAAAAAATAATCTATGAAAAAATTTAAAAAAACCGTCAAAAAATTTAAAAAAAAGAAAAATGTCAAGGAAGAGAAAAAATAAAAACTATACCAAAAGAAAAAAATAAATGTCCCTTATTTTTAATCTTGATTCACTGGATATTCGAAATTATTGAATATAATATACTCTGTATACTTTATTGAAAAATGTTAATCTATACACTTAGGTACATAATTCGTAATATGGAATAGAAATATAAAAGATCTAATTGAATGATTCGGCCAAAAGGCGGAGGAAATAATGATAAACCTAACATTCTCTTATAACTCAGGCTATAGATACTAGCCTCTGTAGTTGGGGCTTCACGGCTTCGGCTACTTCCACTCGGGCATAACAGTATCATTGCACATGTCATGCTAACTCTGTAACCCAAGTACTCCTAATGGAGGCGGAGGGTTGCCGGGAAGGGTGGTTTCCTGGTAACACTTGTGTTATTGGGATGTCCTAATAGATAGATAGATACTAATGTGATATATGCAACCATATGAATATCATGACAACAATCGGAAATTTTCTTATATACTCCGCCAGGAGTCCTGAAAATAATCCTAACATAAACATAAATATTCATAAGGTTGCATATATCACATTAATATACAGAGTATATTATATTCAATAATTATGAACATCCAGTGAATCAAGATTAAAAATTAAGGGACATTTATTTCTTCTTAGGATCCATTTAATTGTGATATGTGATGCGGATCCAGGTCTTCAACATTTCTTTAATATTTACTGATTTTCTGAACAAAGGAAAAATTTTCAGATCATTTTTCTTCTTTTTTCGTCATTTTATTATTTAAGCTAAATCTTATTGAAGCATATTCCGAGGGTAGTAACATTTTAATAATCTCTGTTAAATTCAACAATTCAGATTTGGGGGTTGAGAGCAAAATTATTTTTGTTAGACGTCTTTGGCTGATTTTTTTGCCCCTGGGATCTGCATATTTTTGCGGATTCGGATCCAGGAAGCCAATTTTGCGGATCCAAATCCTTAACACATAGTTTCACCCTTATTCTTATGTTGTATTATTATTACCAAACTTCTGGATAAGTTCTGTGAATACTCCAGGATCAGATTCAATCAAACACCAGTTACCAGCATCAGACATTCTTTAATCTGAAACCAGAAGACACTAGTTTATTTCTAGTTTCAACGAGTTTGAAATCAGTTTTGAAACTAGTTATGAACAAGTTTGAAACCAATTAGAACCAAGTTTTGAAACCAGTTATAGAACTATTTAGAAACAAGTTTGAAACCAGATATTAACCCAGTTTTGAAACTAGTTGTTAACGAGTTTGAAACCAGTTAAAAACGATTTTTATTAAACCCAGTTATTAACACGTTAGAAACCAGTTACAACAATTTTTAAAAACAAATTTCAAGTTGCCAAACCAGCAAATTTCAAGTTAGAAAAATCACGGATTTTATTATTTTTAAAGTGCATGGATAAAATCACATCGTTTAACACTTGTTTATAGAAAGTAGGATAATTGGGAAAAGGGGGGGTTAAATATTTCAGTTTACACGAAAAGATTTCGTCAGGAGGATGAGGTTGGTTTAGGAGGATGAAGATTTCTGCTTTTCTTTTTCCTTCTTGGCGGCTTCAGCCTCGGCCTCGGCAGCCTCGTACTTCTTGATCAGCTCCTCCACCTAACATTCGAGGATTTAAAGCGACTGTAATGGATATTTGAAACGAGTAGGTGCGTGCATGATTCACAATGGTACCCTATCAAACTTTTGACTCATCGTCGATGGAGTTATTCGTATTTACCTAACTGATAATTAAGTGCCTGGGGTAGTTTCTGATATATACAAAAAAAAAATTTCTTTAAGTTGTGTGGAAGTAATAAACTGAAAATTCTTTGTTTTGCAGACACTTTTACCAGTCTCCAACAAAAAAGGAATATTTCTTGCATTATGTCTATCCTATCATCACTTACAATTAAAATACGTTAGCACTTAATTTTCAACTAGAAAAATAAGGATATATAAATCATCCTTCAGTCAGCTAAATTTTTAAAGGAGCCGTTGTGAATCAGACTTGCCACTCTACAAATGAAGGGGATTTAATTTAAGTGCAAAAATCTAAGGAGTATGGAATATAATGGAGAAGGAATAAATACTGCGTAAATGAATTCAGAATAGGTTATTGTATACACAAAACAGGCAAAAATAAGGCTGAATAACGCCAAACAGACATTTTTTTGGGAAGTAAAAAGTTGCAATACAAACGTACTTTTTTATAATATAGAAAAATCGATTTTAATTAACTACTTTCGTAGTTGGCCATATGAATATTTCTTCATTGTCAGCCTGTGGACGGGTTACTGCTATACATACATATACATCCCAGTTCCATTTTGAATTAATAATCTGAGCCGAAAACTTTAGAATGAGATATCCTTAATCCCAATTAAATTATATAATCTAATTATCCAATGGACACACTTGATTTTCTACTTAAACCGTTCTTTCTTGGATATAGTAGAGAAAAATCAAAAACCGGTTTTTTAAAATTAGAGAGTCCCTCCCATTTCTGTATATAATCTTAAATGGCGCGTAAAATTTCAAATTTATCGGCTTCATATACGCGACTCTGATTGGTTGAATTTCATAAACTTTTTAGGTTACAAGTACAAGATAAGGTTAGTCTCGACTCGATATTAAGAAAAAGAGAGGATCAAGCATTAATCTCAATATCCACCATTCTAAAGTTTTCAGCTCTGGAAAATTATGGATACAATGAACCAGGCTAGAAAAAAGGGTGAATATGTTCGGATGGTGTATTTCTTGGAAAATATCATCCTAGGGTTGAAAAGTATCTAAAAGGGCGAATATGTTCGGATGGTGTATTTCTTGGAAAATATCATCCTAAGGTTGAAAAGTATCTAAAAGGGTGAATATGTTTGGATGGTGTATTTCTTGGAAAATATCATCCTAGGGTTGAAAAGTATCTAAAAGGGTGAATATGTTCGGATGGAGTATTTCTTGGAAAATATCATCCTAGAGTTGAGAAGTATCTAAAAGGGTGAATATGTTCGGATGGTGTATTTCTTGGAAAATATCATCCTAGGGTTGAAAAGTATCTATAAGGGTGAATATGTTCGGATGGGGTATTTCTTGGAAAATATCATCCTAGGGTTGGAAAAGTATCTAAAAGGTTGAATATATATTCGGATGGTGTATTTCTTGGAAAATATATTCCCCAAGGAACATTCACGAGCTAAAATTATCAAAAGAAAGAGGGGCGCGAAGTGTTTTAATTTATCACCTGTTCAGCTGGGAGAATCTGAATCATGGTCTTACCGTTCTCCCTAAAATTAAGTAATTAATAAATCAATCAATCAATCAATAAATCAATCAATCAATCAATCAATCAATCAATCAATCATTCAATTAATCATTTTATCATTCAATAAAAATACGTTAGTATTTCAAAGGAAAACGTGTCGACAAAAATATGTCTACCAACCTTGGACACTGAGACAGTTAGTCAAATTGCCAATGGCGTTTAAAGGATTTGATTTTCAAGTCCAGAAAAATAATTTTTCCTATTTACCTGGTCAGGGTTGACAGTTCGATCTTCTCCGCACTTAGTTTGGTCATATCCAAGGTCTTGCTAAGAACCTACAAAAATACAATTAATAAGAGTGAAACTAGGGAGATTTAGTTTGGTCATATGCAAGGTCTTGCTAAGAACCTACAAAAATACAATTAATAAGAGTGAACTAGGGAGATTTAGTTTGGTCATATCCAAGGTCTTGCTAAGAACCTACAAAAATACAATTAATAAGAGTGAAACTAGGGAGATTTATTTAAAACAACTTAGGGCCAAGTTCAATTGTACAGAATGTAATCCAAGGCCGTGACAAATTTTGTTTTGTTAATATTGTTTATGCCAGTTATAGAGCTTAATAGATCGATAGGTATTAGATACCTTAATGGATAAATTGATAGATATAAAGCATGATAGATAGATCGATAGTAAATACACATTGATAGACAGATAGAGATAGTTGTACATCTTGATGGATAGATATGAGGATAGATAAAGACCTTAATAGATAGATTGATAGAAACATCTATATACCTTGATAGAGATAGCTTGATAGAAAAATAGATGTATACCTTGACGATAGATAGATATTAACTTTGATAGATATTCAGATATATATTTGATGGATAGATTAGATAGGTAGATATACCTTGATAGATAAGAATTAAGATAGATGTATACCTTGATGGATAGATAGAATAGATATAAACCATGATAGATAGGTAGATCTACTTTGATAGATAAGAATTAAGATAGATGAATACCTTGATAGATAGATAGATAAGATATAAACCTTGATAGATCGGTATATATATACCTTGAAAGATAAGAATTAAGATAGATGTATACCTTGATGGATAGATCCAGAGCCTCCTTGAGACTTGTTTCTCCTTCCTTGTATTCCTGCTTCAGCATAGATACCGCAGCATTCCAGTTATTCCCGATACAAGTGGCCTAAATAGATAGGACATATAGATAGATAGGTAGATAGACAGATAAGATAAGATAAATAGATAGATGGATAAGATAAGATAAGATGAATAGATAGATAGATAGATACAGTAGCATTCCAGTTATTCCCGATACAAGTAGCTAGAAAGATAGAAACGGATAGGATACGATAAAATGGTATCCATAATCTCAATATTAAATAACTTACCTTCCAGCCACCATAGTTTCCACTAGGATCTAACTGATAAAGCNTTATTCCCGATACAAGTAGCTAGAAAGATAGAAACGGATAGGATACGATAAAATGGTATCCATAATCTCAATATTAAATAACTTACCTTCCAGCCACCATAGTTTCCACTAGGATCTAACTGATAAAGCTGGTAACCATATTAACCAATATACAGGATAGAGACACCAAACTTACCTTCCAGCCACCATAGTTTCCACTAGGATCTAACTGATAAAGCTGGTAACCGTATTAACCAATATACAAGATATAGACACCAAACTTACCTTCCAGCCTCCATAGTTTCCACTAGGATCTGACTGATAAAGCTGGTAACCGTAAGAGAGGAAGGGGGGGATTACCTGCTTGATATCACAAAGCCAAGATACCAACTGTTCACAAGGAATAGATTCTCCGTAGGTATATTTATACCTCTGACCAATCAATCTAAACATAAACAAACATTCTGCAGACCATTCATCCTATTTAAACACTTAAACATTCATTCATCCAATATTTGCCAGGATTTTTTGCCCCCGTATAGAAAATAGAAATAGAATCCCATGTAAAATACTTACTTTTCGACAAAAATACATTTTTTAATTTATAAAAGTTTCAACAACACTTCAGGAAAATAGAGAGAAATATCATCAAATAGAATCTAAAAACCTAAAACTTTGCACTGATGTTGGTAACAGTATCTAGCTTGCCTTTAAAACAGACGTTTTGCTAAAAAAGCAACAAAATTTATTTAAAATGAATGAAAACTAATTTAATCTCTCTTTTATTTTACTAAAAGAATCGAGCATAATGCCCAAATCAAACTTTAAACTAAGGTTGCTAAAATATGAAGACTTGAACCTCCACATCAAGGATTTAATGCAAGGAAAGTTATTTTCAGAGGTGTACGCATCTTTTGTACTGCAGTGTACTGTCACTGGGCGGTAATGTAAACACAAGACGGATGTCGAAGCCTGACATGGGATCCATCTTTCACATAAATAATCAATGAACTATTCTGGTCATAGGAAACTATTATGTAAATTATCAAAATTTAATGGTTTTAACCTCNTTATAAACATCCACAAATGTAATAAAACTGATAACAGTGATTGTCCCCTTTATACACTATATGCTTGGGAACCCAGCGTTGCACAGGGTACTCATAGTTACTCCCGCCGTTTACCCGCACTTAGACGATTTTACCGGGAAACTTTTCCCTATACAAGTCGACCAACTCAACTTATAATCTCTTAACCAATCTAACATCCCGTGGGTCTCCCAAGTTCTCCAATCAAAATTTAAGGTAAATCGGTCCAGGGGTTTCTGAGTTATGATCGGACAAAGAAAAAAACAGAGATTAAAACTTAATTAATAAAGATAAGTCATCATCAGCCTGTTTTTTAGCGGGGTTAAAAGTAGTACAGAGAAAGGATTAAATTCAATCAAGAAATTAAAAAGTGATGCACTTAATTCAAAACTAAAATTCTCTAAAATACGAGATAAAGCCTGTACTATTAAATAATTAATTGAATTGAATTATCAACCAGCTGATCCGCTGAAATACTTCTTGTCAAAACTCAAAATGAGTCTGATATATATTTATCTTTTTATGATAAAGNGGAGTTTTCCTCAAAATAAAAATCCCGGGAATAAAAAATTGACTTAATCTATTGGTTAATCTAATAAATTGTCCACTTTCGGATCAAATAAAAGTTTTTTTTTCCCTCTAATATCTAGTATTTACCTGAGCTCGTTCGTGAGCAGATTAGCATCACTGGTTAATCCGGCAACACTACAGGCCATATCCTACACATTCAATAGTTTTCACCCTATTCATCATCATACTATTTATCGAGTTATATCAATCCATTGATAAAAAATATCACTAAAACGTTTTCATTTCATTGTTTTTCATTGAACAATAATCCCTTTTTAAAGGGACTGTTGACTTAATCTTCATCTAATCAATAGTGTGGAAGATGTCGTCGTTTACCTTGTTTGAAAAGTAATTATATATTACTGACAACTTCCTCCAAATAATTTGTCAAGAAGAATTGCAATACTTTACAAAGCATCCATTTTCCCATTCTGGTAATTTTGAGACTCGAGAGTCACTTGAAATTATGATCCAACAATTTTTCCCTGTCTAATACCCCCGGTAGAAAATGGCAAACACTCCCATTAATTATTAAGCCTGACCTCGTTAAGTTTATAAATCTTCTCTGAATGATAAACTTCGTCCAGCAGCTTGTTCGTGTTTCGTCTCTCGGCAGCCAGCACTATACCTAAACATAAACACACGCATCAATCAATCAATCAATCAATCAATCAATCAATCAACCAACCAATCGAAATAACTATCGATCAATTGTTCGTATTCCGCTAACACTAAACCTGCACGGTGCACATAAACGGCATTCAATCAATCAATCAATCATCAAATTAACCAGTCAAATTATCAATTGATCATACCTTCCATCATTAAATCAATCTACAAATCAATCCGTCAATCTTAGATCAATCTCTCATCTCAATCTTTCAATCAATCAGTCAATGTTTTAATTAATTAAGCTTTCAATCCATAAATCCAATATCAATTAATCAGTTAACTATCCAATGTTTTAATTAATTAAGCTATCAATCCATAAATCCAATATCAATTAATCAGTCAATTATCCAATGTTTTAATTAATTAAGCTATCAATCTTTAAATCCAATATCAATTAATCAGTCAATTATCCAATCAGTTATCTTACCGTCGTTAGCAAGGATTCCAAGACAGGTTCCAGCGTGACCAATAGCCTCCATAGCATACTCAACCTGGAATATTTTAAACACATTATTTCAAATTTGAAACATTTGAAGAAAACTGAAAAAACATTTTGGGTTTCCATGTATTGTCATTTGTTTTTATAACAAAACTTAAAGCTAATAAAAGTTAAAGGACAAAAAACAAAACGGTAGAAAATTATTTAACTTTTAAATAGTGACAGAATGGTTACCTGGTAGAGACGCCCTTCAGGTGAGAAAATAGTAGTTTTGGTATCATAACGACGCGCCATTTTGTCTGAAATCACAATTTAACTTTTAATTTTGTAAAATTATTCATATTGACGTGAGTTGGGAGGTATAAAGCAGAAATATTGGGAAAATGGGGAAATCCATAGAAATACACTAAAAACAGCTGTTGCGGAACTGTAATGGATCAGTTGTTGTAATGGGATCAGCTGTTGTTAAAGAATCAGCTGTTGATATAGAATCAGCTGTTGTTAAAGGATCAGCTGTGGATAAAGGTTTAACAGTATCCAACAATGTCCTTGGCTACTGACCAATCACTGTCAATCATCACGGGACCAGTCACCTTTAACAAATTAATATTATAATCAATCATTTGAAAGTATTTCCCTTTTATAAACATCCACAAATGTAATAAAACTGATAACAGCGATTGTCCCCTTTATACACTATATGCTTGGGAACCCAGCGTTGCACAGGGTACCCCATAAAAAAAACTTGAACCCTACCTTAGCTCCATCCTTTGAGATGACCGCAATATGGTATTTAGGCCAAGCTCTGCAGTCACGCAGGTAGCAAAGTCTCACGCACTAGGTAGGTAGGTAGGTGGTTAGGTAAGTAGGTAGGTAGGTAGGTAGGTGGTTAGGTAAGTAGGCAGGTAGGTAGGTAGATAGGTGATAAGACAGATATTGAGGGAGCAGGATATTGGATAGGTAAGACAAAGTAGAAAGTATAATTTAAAAAATTTCATTGTTTCTTTTTTTATCGGATTTTATGATTTTGATGAAAAGTTTAATGTTGCTCTGACCTGCTGGATGGTAGCTGTTGCTTCAGCCTCGGTAAGAGGTCCTTTCTTGTCCTCTACAGCCTTACGCATTACAGGCAGAGCAAGATCAGTTCCTAGATAGATAGATATATATATATATATATATATATACAGGGTGTCGCTGAAAAAAGTGTTTTTTAGGCTTTTTAGCCTTCTAAACATCGTTCAAATGTCTTCTCTTCAAGTAGGTACATTACCCACTAATGTATGAAAATTTTTTCTCTAAAATGACGTTTTAACCTTCAAAATTAGGCATAATATTCGAAAATGTGCTCGGTCCCATTTCCTAAGGTTTTAATTGCGTTTTCATCCACAAAACATTGTTTTATTCTACTACAATGTGAAACCAGTAGGTACAATGTCCATACATAGGGGGGTCGTCGTTGAAATATTTTACCTTTTATTAACCTTCAAAATTTTAAATCTTTATTCGTCTTTTAGTTTTAAAAATCCTCAATTCTATTATTGAAAATGTGCAATTTAAATAAAAATTATATTTTTTTTAAATCTTTGAAAAGGAGGCCGAGCACATTTTCGAATATTAGGTCCACTTTTAAGGTTAAAAAGGCATTTTAGAGAAAAATCTTTCGTCGAAGATCCCCCGCCCCTTAATTCTGCACAAATTGATAGCACTTTTCAGCACAAGTGAACAAGTGAACAAGTGAACAAGTGAACAAGTGAACAAGTGAACAAGTGAACAAGTGAACAAGTGGAACAAGGAAACAAGGAAACAATGAAACAAGTGAACAAGTGAACAAGGAAACAATGAAACAATGAAATAAGTGAACAAGTGAACAAGTGAACAAGTGAACAAGTGAACAAGGAAACAAGGAAACAAGGAAACAAGGAAACAATGAAACAAGTGAACAAGTGAACAAGTGAACAAGTGAACAAGTGAACAAGTGAACAAGTGAACAAGTGAACAAGAAAACAAGTGAACAAGTGAACAAGTGAACAAGGGAACAAGGGAACAAGTGAACAAGGGAACAAGTAAACAATGAAACAAGTGAACAAGTGAACAAGTAAATGCATGAATAAATGAATAAATGAATAATTACCTAACCCTGTGGCAATCATTGATTCCTCGAATGCAGTCCCTTGAAGGTTAACGAAGCCCATGAAGGGTTCACCGTCCTGCATACCTTCACAACCACACAGTTCAAGTCAGCAATCAATAAGAAGTTATTTTCAAACATTTTTTTCCGTGATTCAGAAAACTTTTCATACCTCTCATTTTCATAAACACATTTATTCGTCCTACTCCTATAGTATCAGGACTCGATCAGTATGGCTCAATTCATAATTTTGTGGCTCAATTCATCAGTTTTTGATTTAACAGTTGGCGGGGCTTAAACCGTGAATCCTTGGATTCCGAATCAAACACGCTAACCACTGCTACATCAAACCCTGATGATTGGGTAATGAAATAAGGACCAGAGTGCTCAACCAACTCAAATTAAGTTGGAAGACTTTGCATAATTACCTCTTTTCCCCCAAAAAGTCAAGTTATTTACCCCACAAAACACTGCAACCACAAAAACATTAATTTAACACTTCATTTTCCATTAAGGGGGTAGGGATACTTCATGAAAATCAATTGATTGAAGAGATGGCAAAACTGAAGACATTATTTCAAATTTATGATGTTATTGTTAAACTGTGCCTCCGACAACGAATGTGTTCCAGAGTGGATCAAACTTTGACCTAAAAGAAAATTATTCAACTTGTGAACATTCAAGACCACCCAAAGTAAAGAATAAGTAGCTCAATGAAAAAAAATCTCCAACTTTCATTTAGGCATTTAAGACGCTTCGCGCCCATCTTCTATTTTTATTGCGAACATGTTCTCTTTGTATACATTGTAAAACAAAAACAAACAAAAATTTCGTCGATTTTCAAAATTTTCAAAAATAAACCTTCCTTGGGGTCGCTAGGGGTCCCACAAAAAATTTGGGCCAGATAAGAAAAAACGATCAAAGGAAGCTATTAAGACAATTTTTCTGTACTGCGCGGGTGGGGAATAAAGCTTTTTCAAGATAATATTAACCCCTGTCAATCCATGTAGTATACCCTGTACCTTCTGTTGTAGAGAACCCTGGTCAACCAGCTGAACAGCGCCTTCGGCTTCAAGGAGAATCCATCATCCCTGAATTTTAACGATTTGTCATAGTTTTCTTCATTTTTACGACGACCCAATTTTTTTGTCATTTTTTCCTCAAAGGACGGGAAAACTTTAAGAGAGACTAAAATTTCTTTTTTCAACTGATTTTGTATTTTGAGTCATTCAATTAAGGAACGGAAATCTTTATCTTATGACAGATACTAAATCTAATTTGTTCTTAATGATTTTCGTTTCCTCTAAGAACTGGAAATCTGTTTTAAAAAACAGATACTACTACTGCATTTTTCTTCAATCTGTTTCTGTTTCATGATTTCCTCCAGAAATTCGAAATCTTAATCTTAAAACAGATACTAAACCTGCATTCCTCCTCAATCTGTTTCTGTTTCGTGATTTCCTCCAGGAATTGGAAATCTTTATTTTAAAACAGATACTAAACCTGCATTCCTCCTCAATCTGTTTCTGTTTCATGATTTCCTCCAGGAATTGGAAATATTAATCTTAAAACTGATACTAAACATGCATTCCTCCTCAATCTGTTTCTGTTTCGTGATTTCCTCCAGGAATTGGAAATCTTTATTTCAAAACAGATACTAAACCTGCATTCCTCCTCAATCTGTTTCTGTTTCATGATTTCCTCCAGGAATTGGAAATATTAATCTTAAAACTGATACTAAACATGCATTCCTCCTCAATCTGTTTCTGTTTCGTGATTTCCTCCAGGAATTGGAAATCTTTATTTCAAAACAGATACTAAACCTGCATTCCTCCTCAATCTGTTTCTGTTTCATGATTTCCTCCAGGAATTGGAAATATTAATCTTAAAACAGATACTAAACCTGCATTCCTCCTCAATCTGTTTCTGTTTCGTGATTTCCTCCAGGAATTGGAAATCTTTATTTTAAAACAGATACTAAACCTGCATTCCTCCTCAATCTGTTTCTGTTTCATGATTTCCTCCAGGAATTGGAAATATTAATCTTAAAACTGATACTAAACATGCATTCCTCCTCAATCTGTTTCTGTTTCGTGATTTCCTCCAGGAATTGGAAATCTTTATTTCAAAACAGATACTAAACCTGCATTCCTCCTCAATCTGTTTCTGTTTCATGATTTCCTCCAGGAATTGGAAATATTAATCTTAAAACTGATACTAAACATGCATTCCTCCTCAATCTGTTTCTGTTTCGTGATTTCCTCCAGGAATTGGAAATCTTTATTTCAAAACAGATACTAAACCTGCATTCCTCCTCAATCTGTTTCTGTTTCATGATTTCCTCCAGGAATTGGAAATATTAATCTTAAAACAGATACTAAACCTGCATTCCTCCTCAATCTGTTTCTGTTTCATGATTTCCTCTTGGAATTGGAAATCTTAATCTTAAAACAGATACTAAACCTGCATTCCTCCTCAAGCTGTTTCTGTTTCATGATTTCCTCCAGGAATTGAAAATCTTTATTTTAAAACAGATACTAAACCTGCATTCCTCCTCAATCTGTTTCTGTTTCATGATTTCCTCCAGAAACTGAAAATCTGCAATATCTCCAGCAGCTCCAATACAGATATTCTCGTTAACCTTAACACACAGGGGGTTATATTTTCACAGATATCCCCCCCCCGTTTCTTAAAAAAGGTCATCCCCGGATCTATAATAATAATAATAGCGTTTTTAATATATTCGAATGTTTCTGAGTTCCTGTCAAATAACATTTCATGAGTCTACTACAGAGGTATTTATATTTAACAATTATGATTTCTGATGCTCTAGACGAAAAATGGAAAAATTGGACATAATAAAAGCAAGACTATTCATTTTATGTTTAAACTGTTGACCCAAAAGTTCATAAATTTTTTTAACTGTTAACCCAAAAATTCATTTATTTGCCCCTAAAAATCATTTACTTTCCCCAATTCAACAAAAACAACTTAAAAAAACACCATGTTACTATTTTGGGAATAAATATTTTAAAAAAAGGGGGGGGGTTATGTTTCTTCAAGAAAATATAAACCCTGGTTTACGGAGAAAAAAATGATCAAGCAATCCTTCAAATGTGAGTTGCTCCCTTTATTCAAGAAATTAATCACCAAATATTAACACTCATTTTCATAAGTGACATCAAATAAAAAAAATTCTTCGGATTAATATTAATCCACTAAAGTGTTAGAAATTGACAAATCAGAGCTGGGAACTTTTGAATGGTGGATATCCAGATTAATGCTTGATCTCCTCTTTTCCTTAATCTCTAGATTAAATAATGCTTGTTCTCCTCTTGTTATTAATCTCCAGATTAATTATCCGATCGGGATTAAGGATATCCCATTCTAAAGTTCCCAGCTCAGAGTGTAGAAAAAGAGAGGATTAAGAAAATCATAATTTTCCAAAGTGGATACTCAGATTAAGCGATTGGGATTAAGGGTATCCAATTCTAAAGTTTTCAGGTATGGTGATTTAAAAACTTCTGAAGAGTTTCTGGAAGTNACCGTAGGATCCTAGCGTATCTGCGGCAATAATAACACCACCATCAAACTAATTTATTCATTTCATAATTGTGATGAACGTATTAGTAGGCCCTTACGTATATTCCGTAGGCGGGTTGGATCTCTCAAAATAGAGGTTATTTTCAAATTTTTTCTCGTATAGCTCGTATATTTAGGACAGAAGGCGAAATAATCTTTAGCCCGTCGTATCTAAGAGTTTCAGGTTGCCATTAAATGCTCATCTTTTGTGGGTTTAACTAATTCATTTATTTTTTCATTATTTTAACTGAAAAAGAAGGCATAATCTATTTTTATTATTATTCAGAAATGAGGAATTTTTTGATAATTATTTTTACGGTTCAGATTTATGCTTGAAGAGCAAAATAATTTAGTTCAACCAGTTTTTGGTTGATATTTTTTCCCTTGGATCCGGATCCAGGAAGCCAAACTGTTCCGGATCCTAAGCACTGGATAATTCATTAATAACTGAAGAAAGAACCCCTTAAAAGGCTATTTCAGGACAGAATGAAAAATAACCTTTAGTCCGTCATATTTAACGAGTTCATAAAGCTTCAAACCTTGTCACTAGTATTGATTAGATGTGTTAGATTAGATAGTTGCAAGTACAATTTCTTTTTATCTAGAATTCAATAACGGAATTTTGACTTCTTCTCGACAACAAAATAAGTTAAATCTCTAGTTTATGAACTACGAATTTCGGAAAATGAAAAGGTTGCAATGATCACACTAAATACGTTTGCCATTGAAATAATCAAATTAAGTTTATTAATTTAGTTTACATTTTAGCTTACTAGCTTGGGAAACCTGACTGAAAACTAATATTTCCATACAAATGTCAACCTACTGAACTTGTAAATGCTAATCCAAGCTAAGAAAATTCTTGTGATTCAATAAAAAATGAGGCAAATCGGTTGAGTGGTTCAAGAATTAAAAATTGACATGCAGACACTGCAATTAGAACCACTAGGGTTAGAACTACTAGGGTTTCCAGCGAACAAAAACTGTGCGAAAAAATGCGAAAATGAATTAAGCGAAAAAATGCTATAACTATGCGAAATTTCGCGAAAACAATTTTCGCGAAACTTTTGTTGCAAAAATCGTAAGTTGTGTAGCTGCATAAATTAATTGAGCAAAAAAACTTGAGGAATTCTCTGCTAAGAGATCTCGGCATTAGAAGTTTTAATATATCATAATTAATAATTTCTCTTCTTTTCACACAAGTTTTTTTCGCAAAACAATTTTTCCTTTTCCCTGGAAACCCTAATTAGTACTTCTTCTACCCATATAAAGTAGTAATATCTGTTTGTCTGTTTGTGTATCCATGGTTAAATAAATATTGCCCACAAAAACATTGCGGAGCGGGAGGTTATTTACTTTATTGTTCCAGTTTAGGTTAAGCAATATCCAATTGTGGGGAGAATCATGGATCGTTAATGTCGGTCTAAAGTTTGAATAATAAACTAATGAATTGAATTCCTTCATAGCAAAGACTGATGCTCCAGTAGTGACAGGAGACTGAGTAACAGTTCTAGGGTTCATGCTGAGGGGTCGGTTAGGAAACTGATGATGAGTCTAAAATACAACAATTGATAACAAATATATTGATGAAAATTCCCATTGTGTGAAACTAGAACTTACATTTATCTAAATCTTAACTATATACTAAATATATATATAAACAAACAAAAAGAGTAAAAATCCCGACCAAAAAACATATTGTCCCGCATAATAAAAAAAACAGTTGCATAAAAAGATATAAAAGGATGCATGCACAAAATTGATATGAAATTGCAATTTGGTTTCCTTCTTTTAACCGTTGTTTACGTCAGATTAATTATTCGCCTGAAATCGGTTTCTTTCCCCAAACTAAGCAATATAAATTATGTATGCATCAGTTATTTTTTAAAAATCAGCCCAGAATCCCAACCCCCGTGCCGGTCACACAACAAAAATCAGAATTAAATTTGATAAAAGCTGCAACTACAAAAATCGTTCTCTAGGACGGACCCGAAATATCGGCCATCATAGCTGGGAACCAACCAAAGCAGTTATAAAACCTGATAATCTGGCCCGTTCCTCCAGAGAGGAGGACAGGTTGGTCCAAACCCAGTTGATCCTCCAAACATTGCCTCCATTTTTTCTGTAATTAATTGAAATATAAAAAACATAACTTTAAGAAAGTTTCAGCCATTTTAGATAATATCAGGTGAACGGACATGTATCTAAAAAAATTTTAATAATCACATTTTCATTTTAAAATACGCAGATACAGAATTTAATTCGTTTAAGCATAAAATCTCTGAGTGATTTACAATTTTTCTGAAAATATTTTGTCAACTCACTGAACCGGTGGAAATAGTTGCGGCATTCTCTCCGGCAGAGCGCCGTCGTCTTTGTATTTAGTAAAAAGTCTTATCATCGGAACTACAGTTCATCTGAACTATGTCGTAAGTAGTAATTAATCAACTATCGTGTTTAAAAAAAAACTTTATCTCACAATGTTTTCCGATCATTTTGGAAAGGTTCTGACCTATAATTATAGAAACCAACATTTAGTTGGAAACAAATTATGTTTATGGTATTTTTTAAAGTTCACCTGACAAATTGAAAAAATTGTTAGAAACACATTTGAGCATCTTTTGATTGAATTTTTTTCGAGCGACAAGATAATATTCTTGTTCAAAAAAATTGTGTCTTTAAAAATGTTAAAAATTAGTGTAATTTAACTTTTTTAAATGTGTCCCCAGAGTCCCTAAACAAATGCTAGCAAATAAAATAAAATTTAAATAAAAATTTCATAGAAATTCATCAAAAATTGAATGAGATAAACAAAAATGTAAGCCAATTATTTGAATTTTTCAAGTCTTAACATAACAGTTCTAGGATTAATTTTTGGGACCATTTTTTCGCTCCATTCCGTCTCGTTCCGTTCTGTCCCATTCCGTTCCGTTCCGTCCTTAGTCTAAGAATAATTATCCCGTTCCACTCCGTTCTTGGTGTTCTCAGTCAAAGAACAGTTCCATCCCCTGTTCCGTTCTTAGTCAATAACAGTTCCATCCCCCTGGTTCCGTTCTTAGTCAATAACAGTTCCATCCCCCTGTTCCGTTCTTAGTCAATAACAGTTCCATCCCCCTGTTCCGTTCTTAGTCAAGAACAGTTCCATCCCCCTAATAGAAGATAGAAAAGGGGGGAGGGAGGGGGGTTAATTTAGAGGTGTCCAAGACAAAAGTTTTGTAGAAGAGGACGTTAAAAGAGTAATAAATGACGATTTTATAATAAAAAGTTTCTCACGACCGAAAATATACTTGAAACTATAATGTTTTAAGATAAAGGTTAAAAGGCTTAGATAATTTCTGGACCGAACAATGTTTATTTTTTTGTGAAGCTCAATTCCTTTAGACTTTCGGATCTAACAGAAGTCATAGTTTGAGAAATCAAAAGTCTACAACACCAGCTTGCAAAATAGAGATTAGAAAATAATAATTTGTGGCGAATGTTAAGTTCTTTTTGTGTTTTTTTATTACTTACAAAGTGAGTAAAAAGCAGCATTACCTTTAGTTTACAAACCACATTGAAAATGTTTTCAGAGTTCATAGTAAAGGGTTAATAGTAAAATAAAGTAAGACAAATGTAATTTTTTTTTAACAAATCGATTAAAAAATCAGTTTTCTTAAAGTTTCATAAAAATCTATTGATGAACAAAACATAACACGCATTTTCCAATTGATAAAATATTTTTTGCATTTTAGTAAGTATTCTACATTCTACATTTCTAAAATTTTCAACCTGAAACATGAACCTTGCCAACTGAAGTTATGATTTCAAATAGTCAAATAAACATGAAACAGAGCAATTGTGTTGTGTACGAGTACACAGACCCGTTCCACTTAATAAGTTTATTTTTTGCTATTAGTAAATTATTTGCTTTATAACAGAAAATGCATATTAAAAATTTATTAAATGTCGTCTTCCGTTTCTAGAGTCTTAGTTGTTTCATCAAACAATGTCCTTAATGGTTTTGACCTTTGATATTTCAATATTAATGGTCTACGACATCGGGTTGCGAAGATATAGTGAATTAAAATTATTGTTTGTAAGCTCATTTCCTTTAAACTTGAAAGAAAATTCCATCAGTCTTTGCTGTCATATTCATCAGTTATCTCTTACATTGTTTTAAAAGTTTTGATTGGCAGAACTATTGTTACACTTTTAAAATTAAAACTCAGCCCTCATACAACCTTACGTTTTATGAACAATATTTTCATCAGACATATATCTAACGTTAGACTATTCAATTTAGTATTCAGAGAAAAGTTATGAAACTTTTTGGTCTATAAAATTACATTTTTAAAAATATTATATGTTACATTATTGAAAATTATCGTTTCCTGATTATCAAATTGATAACCAATTTCTGCAACGTTAAACTTTTCTATATACTATTAGGGAAAACTTCAAAACGTTTTCATAAACAAAATGCATTTTTCGGTTATACAAGTTTACACTTTTTATAAGTTGAACTTTAAAATAGAAATCCTTTCGCTACGATATGCAATAAAATCACAATTAATTTTTTATACGTTAGACTTTCAAGCTCCCCATGGAAACAATACGTTTCATCACGTTATGGTCAAACAAGTTGTAGATATTAGAAAAATAATGTTAAGTTACCAAAAAACGCTACCATTGGGGGTATGTTCCTTTAACATTAATGTTTAACATTAATGTTTAACGTTAACGTTAGGTATAAAAGTTTCTATACATTAATGTAAAACGTTCACGTTATATAGAATATATCCCAACGTTTCTAGGCCCCATGTAAAGAGAGTGGGATGGTAACCATGATATAAAAGCTTTGCATGTGATCAAGAATGAATGAGATTTATCTATGTTTTTTTACAACTGATGTTTTCTCCATAAAATTATTTTTGCTAATTTATAAAAAGAAATTGTCAAAATAAAACACTATAAAGCTAGAAAAATGCTAAATCATTCTTCATTTTTGATAAAATAAAAGGTTTAAACTTGCAAAGGATACTTATGTTAATAGTTCATGCCTCTTTTTCTTAAGAGTAGGATCTAACTTTAAAAGTTGCATGAATTAAGTGAGTACAACATGTACATCATGTACTGTTTGTACATTCAGTTGTACCGTCTTGTCTGGACTATCTGCAGTATAAAGTGGACCCAGCACGTTTTATGCAAACAATATCACTTTCAGAGTCCTTTAACTTCTAAATAGTATTTTTTTATTTATATGAATATGAACTACATTTATTTTTATCTTATACGAACTCTTTTAATGTTCACGGTGAGAGCTAGGGACACCCTGTAACCATAATAATGACGGATATCTGATTATAAATGATAATTCTAATAATACCTAGTTTAGTCAAAGTAAAGAGAATTACCTTTTAATAGTCAAGGAATCTTGCTCATTAATAATTTATAGTAAACTAGCTGAAAAGCCCGGCGTTGCCAGTGGAATTATTTTTTTAAATATTTAAAAAAAAAATTTCGCATATAACACCCCTCGGCCACTCATGAGTTTCCACAAAAAATTCAGCCCAATCGGTCCTGCAGTTTGGCCAGCTATAGGCAACATATAAAATACGAATGTCTTGTTTTATTATGTAGATATTAACCCTCAAGTGTCTGGGGGGTCTAAATCTATTCATTAACCTCCACCCCTCCCACTAAGGGGGCGGACCACATTTTGGAAATGACAGGGCAAGAGTTATTTTGTGATTAATGATTTAATACTTGTAACATTAAAGGCCTGCACAAATCAGATGATCTGTAATGCTTCTTTAAATTGTCTACAGTAGAATATAAGTTTGTGGTTGCAGAGCCGGCCCTGTCCTAGCCGCAGCGTTCAGCCCCCTAGCACAACCTAGCTGCAGCGTTCAGCCCCCTGGCCCTAGCACAACCTAGCCGCAGCAGTTCAGCCCCCTAGCACAACCTAGCTGCAGCGTTCAGCCCCCTAACACAACCGAGCCGCAGCGTTCAGCCCCCTAGCACAACCTAGTCGCAGTGCTCTGCCCAGAAATTGTCGTAACCAACCCTAACCCTCAAATAATAAATTTACATCATATAATTTTTGGTGTAAAAATACCTAAAACAATTTTTTGTGTTAAGATACTTAAAACTTGAAAGGAGGTAATTTTTAAAAAATTGAAAAATTTGTTCATAAGGACGTTAGTTCAACTGAACATTAGTATAAACTAACGTTAGTTAAACTGAACATTAGTATAAACTAATGTTAGTTCAACTGAACATTAGTATAAACTAACGTTAGTTTAACTGAACATTAGTATAAACTAACGTTAGTTCAACTGAACATTAATATAAACTAACAATATAATAGTTCAACTGAACATTAATATAAACTAATGTTAGTTCAACTGAACATTAATATAAACTAATGTTAGTTCAACTGAACATTAGTATAAACTAATGTTAGTTCAACTGAACATTAGTATAAACTAACCTTAGTTCAACTGAACGTTAGTATAAACTAACCTTCAACTGAACATTAGTATAAACTAACAATATTTCAACTGAACATTAGTATAAACTAAAGTTAGTCCAATCAATCTTTAGTCCAAATGATATGACACCGTAAAAATCAAAATTAATATCGAAAGTCGTCTTCATTATATTGATATATACAATAATGACTATGTACTAGTGTGTAAACTCCCCTTCTTTGTGAATATGAAAGAATATGATAGAGAAATTCAATATATCAATTTTTTAATCTCTGTTTGTCTGTTTGTTTGTCGACGATCATAACTTAGTAACCCTTGGACCGATTTGGCTCAAATTTGGAATCGGGAAGTCTGGAGGTCCACGGGAATGTTCTAAGCTTGGTTTTAAGATTCTAAGTTGAGTGCCGAGTGGGTCGACATTAATAGAGAAAGAAAATGTAGTTTCGCTTTAAATCGTTCAAACGCGGCAGGAGTAACTTTTAGTAACCCAAGTTCCTAATATTATAGTTGACAATATTTTTATCCAGCGAGGCTTAAGTTAACCAATAAGTTCTATTAGTCAAAATTTAAGTTCTGTTTGCTGTGTTAGAATCGTCAGAACAACCGTCATTAAAAAATCATACAATAACTAAAGATAAAAGATATTACTAGCATTAAGTAATTGATACAAGTATCAAAATATGTATTTTTGTTCATCTTCAGGATNACAAGAGATTGGTGGGTTGAAAGTTGGATTATTCCGGTTATTTTGGATCTATTTAAGTATGCAGTATGATTGATGCATTTTTAATAAAACTTTCGAAATAGTCACGGAATATTCATACCAACGTCATGGTCTACAGCCGGATAATTAGTGTGATCAATCTCAATATATCTAATTATAATTTTCCTGGTCTGGTTGTTTTGATGGCCTCAAAAAAACCGGCCCAAATTATCATATAGACCTTATATGTAGACATGGGCTTAGTTTTCTTAAAAATCTAAATATTTCGGTTTTAAAATTGGATCGATCATTTGAAGTGATCGTTTTGATTTAAAATGAAATGATTGCAAAACAAATCAATCAATTTGTATTTTCAAAACAAAAAATGAAAAAAATTGAATTGAAAAAAACTGAAACAAGAAAAAGAAAAAAAAGGAATAAAAGTTTTCCATTTTGCCAAACGAAAAGCAGAAAACAATAAATTTTGTTTGGTAAGAGATTTGAAAAAGGAAAATATTAATTTTTAAATTTGAAAGTAATGAAAAAGACGAAAACATCTGTAGTGCAATTAAAAATAAAATAGATAGCCTAATTCGTAATGCAGCCAAAAGTGGGGTATTTTATTAGCATAAGATATTTTCTTTGGTTTTATTCATGTAGCGATATAGGCGTGGTTAGATTAAAAAAAAATATTTTCTATAACTAGGCACTCCTTAAAGTAGAATAAAACGACATTTAACCAGTCAGCATGCAATTTATATCTTTGGAAAGGGGAAAAAACAAATGCGAACATTTCGGTGGGGAAAATGCGAAACTTTTGCGAAAAAATACGGAAGAGAAATTATCAATTATGGTTTTATCAAACTTCTAATGCTGAGCTCTCAGAGCAGAGAATTCCACAAGTTCTTTTGCGCAATTAATAGTTGCAGCTACAACAACTATGGTTTTTGCGGAAAGTTTTAATCGCATAATCATTTTTCGCAAAATTTAGCAAAAACAATTTTGCATCGTTTTCGCATTTTTTCGCTTAACTCATTTTCGCGAAAAATTATATTCAGGTGCGCGAAAAAGTTTTTCGCATTGATTTCGCGGAAGTTTTCGTTCACTGGTAATCCTAACCCCCATCCCTTATTAAGCCGTTAACAAATAAAGGGTTGCATCATGTTGAGGCCAACGAAACAGGCTTCACATGAATTTGAGATCCAAATTCTATTTTAAAATTCCAGACAAAGTATGCTGTGTGCAAGAAGAGCAAACTTGTCTAGCATGTAATTTTGAAAGAGGATTGTAACTCAGATTCTTGTGAAGCCTTGAAAAAACCTAAAAACTTTAAATGCTTAAAAGCGAGTCACAGCACGATTACCTTCAGTAACCCTTTGTCAAGCCCTGGTCGGACAAACACAATAAAGCATTATGTTTATTCTAAAATAATATTTTTAAAAACAAAATAATAGATAAATAGCAAATTTTGAAGTTCACTTTATTACGCAAAACAAATGCTCAAACATTTAAGTATAATATTGTTCTTCATAAAGGAATGAAGGCTTTGCCACGTATTTGCATATTCCTATATCTTTGCTTCCCAATATCGTGGGCTTTTTTATATTTTAAATTATAATTCTATTAGATCAAATAATCTAAGTTTGAAATATCAAAGGTTTGCCTCATCATTTAAAATCATGAATTTGGGTGGGTACATTTTCAGAATCGGTATTTGTAAATTATTAAATAACGACGACGAAAAATAAGGTAAAAATTATGCAGTCAACTAATTAGATTGTTAGAAACATATTTCTTAAAAGAAATTTGTCAATAAATCAATGCTAGAATCAATTATTTTGTTTTCATCATTGTATTAAATTTCTTATTTTCTATAACTGTATTCTTTAAATGTCCTTTTTTTAATGAAAATATCAGAAAATCTGCAGAAAATATTTGTGAATAATCAGAGATTATAGAAACTAATAATGGAAAAAGATTACTTATTTTCGATGATGAGATTAATTTTTATTTTCTCAATCTGTTCCAGAACAACTAATTAGTTTACAGTAGAATTTTGTTTACATTTTTTGTCTTTGTTATTTAATAATTTAAAGAAAACAATTCTGAAAAGGTATCCAACCAAAAGTACGATTTTGAACGTCGACTTTGCGCTCAAACTAAGGATTTACTGCAGATCTTTATATGTCTCAAATGAATCTTAAAGAAGAACACTGTATACTCAGTTCAACTATCTTACATAGTCGGTCTGTCCCTTTAATGTAAATTTAAAATAATACAAATAATGCTGGGAAAAAAATTGTGCAGTGGGAGACAAAAAAGGTTTCAAAGTTAATATCAAATCAAATTGATTTTTTGTCACAAGATTACAATTTGTATTATTTGAATTTGATCAAGAAAACCATTCAAATTTTTTTCAATCACAAATTTTCTTCACAAATGATTTGTTTATATATAGTTACAAGATCTAAATTGACAGAATTTATTATGTTATCAGAAAAAAAATATCTTCCTCTTTGTTACTCAGAAAAAGATGTCAAGGTAATAGTTGCAAATCAGGCATGCAATTATATAATGTGTAAATACATTGAAAGTTCATTAATTAGTAAATCATATTGCAAAAAAAGTTCTCACTGTTCTTTAGGAACAGAATGGAATAGAAGAGCTGTATTATGCCTTATCTACAGCATAACATATCCAAGAGTACATCCTCTGAGAACCTTAGCATCAGCCGGGATAACAGTGCAGTCACCATCATTATGAGGTTGATTTAAAGTTTTGGTGAACGGTGTTGTGCTTTCATGGCGCTCAGTGATTGGATTCCACACAAACAGGTTAAAATTAGACTGCCCATATACTGAAGAAGTTCCTCCCAACTGAAATCAGAAGGCAGATATCAATTTTAAGGGATGGTTCACATATTTAACAGCTAAAAATAAAAGTTAAAGATGCAAGCACCATTATAGCTATGATAAAGTCAGTAATGACAAAAAAACTGGGAACAAAATGTCTCAAGCAATAATGTTACCTCCAAGCTTTCATAAGGTGTTAGGGATTCTATTCTTGTAGCAGAAGACGTATATGCAGCAGTTGGTCCTCTCACCCATTTTACATTCCTATTTGTTTCATAAGCTGTCAGATCAAAGTATTGAATTGAATTGGATCCGCCTCCGACAACTGTTATCATTCTATTTCCAGTTGTTCTTCGTCTGATGATGCTGCAACCTGTATCAGATCTAGCATCAAGAAGGCTTGGCATTGAAGCCCATTGATCTTTAGAGACTGTATATGCATACACAGCATTTGTGTTTTGATTAAAAGGGCCGGTTCTTCCCCCCATCCCATATATTTGGTCATATCCATGATCGGCAACAGCACATACTCTAGATGCCTGAATTGGGTAAGAAGCCATGGATTTCCATCCCTTTGATTGGGTCCATCTATCTACTTGAGAAATATGCTTTGTATTGAACCCTGCAATTGCAAATGCAGCATCACCAAATGTAACAAATCCAAATTCTCTTCTTGCAATAGGCATGCTGGCCATTGTATACCATCCAGGATTATTCTCATCAGTATTAAGAATATAACAGCTACTGACGGCATGAGGCTCTTCAATTAAATTTCCACCACAAACAATAAGATCATAATTAACAGCAGTGACTCCATGTAAAACTCTTCCAGGGGAAAGGTTTGATAATTTACGGTGGCAAGTTCCTGGCAAATGAGGTTCCCCAGGTCTTGATCTACTTCGCAGAATAACCGACCAAGTTTCAGTGTATGCTACTGTTGATTCATTTCTACCACCCCAGCATACTGCAGCATACTCTCTAATGGAGGTACAGTCCTGCAAAGCTTTGTAATTATTTGATTTAACAGTTGTCCAGGCAGAGTTATGCATTTCATTCTGGAGATAATAATAATTGTCTTCAAAATTAGTTGTGTCATGATTGAACTCAAATATGTTCTTAAGGCTGTTTCCATATCTACCAGAATTTCCTCCGACAATAAAAGCACTAAAAGGGGTTAGAGTTATCATTCTCATAAATCTTTGATTTAAATTATCGAACAAGGTTGCTGCCAAATTCCATCCCAAGTTGTTTGTTAGGTCAAAATATATTACTGCATCTGCTAATCCACCTCTCACAACCAGAAGCATTTTTTCTTTTGTTCTACGGTAAACAATTCCACAAGCAGAGTCCATCACAGTTTGCCTTTTAAAAAGATCACTATGAAATGTCCAAACATTAGTGGAAACTGTAAAGTAGTAAACTCCCATTTTGGCTCCAACCCCTATTTCACTACCTCCAATCATCCAGATCTTGTCATCTTCTTCATCAGCAACAGCACAGAAACGATGATTTGAATATGGCAAATCTGCTTTCTTCGTCCACACATTTGATTTGTGGTTTAATTCATGCATTGTATTTATACTTACACTTGGCATGAAATCTTCTCCTCCAATAACAAAAATGGAACTTTTCCAGGCCAACATTTGAAAATGTCTTCGCCTCCGGGGTAAGTTTGGAGCTTCTATCCATGATCCATCATTTGAATTTAAATCAAACTTTTTACAGTCAATCAATGGATAAGGAACTCCATCATAACTTCCACCACAAATGTAAAGCCATCCATCTATTTCTGCTATTCCTGGACTATATCTTCCTTGAATGCTATCAATGGAATGATGAGAACAAGTATATTTCTGTGATGTAAAGACTGAGATCTGACTTGGGTAGTTTGTGGCACTGGTTGTATATCCTCCAAACCCAATTGCAATCTTTTCATCAGGGAGATCATGACAAAAGTAACTTCCTACTGTGTTAACACAGAGTTGTTCTATTTTATCTTCCTTCATATTTCTCCAGTAGGCCGTTTCATCCAAACCCGTATTTGCAACACCAATGGCATTGATTACTATTGGCATTGCATCTGGATTGATGGCTTCAATTAGACTATTTCTATTTCTGTCCAGAAGAGATATTGTGGTCTGTTTTTCTGCACTGTCATAATATACATCCATGAAGTAAAGATCAAATTTGCTTGAGGACATTTCTAAGCTTTGAGATATACTTGACAAAAGATTACATGCAGCTGGACAGTAATATATCTCAACTTTGTCAGGATTGAGTAAAACATAATAAGCTGGAACTGATTTATCAAATCCAACATAAAACCTTGCTGACCCTGAAGCTGCCACTTCAAATTTAAATGTATGATGAAGTTCATCTGCAGTGTCTACCTCTTCCACATCAAAGTACTTGATACCATTTTGTCCAAATGTGTCAATATTGTATCCTTGGAAATTATCACAATCATTCATGTCAGCATTTATACATTCATCAATATCATAGCAATAAAATTTAGGTGATCCAATAAACCCAACCTTACAAGTGCATACAGCATGCCCTGGAAAGTTCCAACAGTTTGTATTTGGACCACATCCTGCTGTTCCGTTTGCACATTCATCAAAATCAATGCATCCACTGTGATCCACAAAATCATAAAACCCTGTTTTACAAGTACAAGTGAAGCTTCCAATTGTATTTGTGCAGATTGTGTTCTGTCCACAATATGCCAGCCCTTCAAAATGTCCATTGTTTGGTAAACATTCATTTAATTCTGAACAATATGGTTGCGCAGCAGATTTAACACAATAATAACCAGGTAAACAATCTTCATTATCCTCACATCCAACCTCATCTTGACCACACAGGTGATACCGTTTGTTGCATGGTTTGTAGCAGCAGTTGTCTGTTCTAGTAAAACCAAAAGTTTCAGAGTTTCTTACAAATATGTGACGTGGGAAATAGTCTGTGTTCAAGCAAGAGTTATCTCCACACTTCAAAATTCCTTTCTCTCCATTCTGACAGTCTGCATCAACGTCACAATGACCCCCTCCTTCCTTGCATGGGTGTTCTGGAGTACAGCGCTTTTCACAACAGTCATCTTCTTCATCCCATCGTCCACCAGGAGGTCTCCATTTCATGCAATTGTTCTTTCCACACATGAGAACACCCCCACAGTCATTGTCAGTATTACAATCTCCTTCTCCAATCCCGCATAGATTCAACTTTCCTCTATTGCAACAATGCTCTCCACCTCGGCAAATCTTGTCAATGTATGTTGGAGCTTCAAAATCAACCATGATCTGTTTTTCTATCTGACCAACATCCGGGTCTTCCAGGAAAGTGAGATAGGCAAGATCACACGCCTTGGAGGTTTCATTATAACTAAAACAGTTAAAGGGTTTTCAATTTTCGTAACTCTATTCAAAAAGAATATCAAATGAAAAAAACTGACCTAAATGCATTACAAAATGCCCCTTTCATTTGTTGTAAGTGTGCACAATGAATCCCACATTGAGATTTTGAACGCACCAATCCACTTTCTGTTAGATGGGAGTAGAAAGTAGTCTCCGACACATTATTGGTACTAGTGAAAATATATGTAAACATTAAGCATAAGTTGTCAATGGTTGCAGAATTAATGACTCTTCTGGGCCTAAGGAGCTATTTACTTTTAAAAAAGTGGAAATTAAAGTAACATTTTTTCATTATAGGACATGGTAAAGTAGTTACAAGAAAATACTCCTAAAACATTTCCTAGTTTTTTTTTTCTTTGTGTTTGTAAGATCAAACTCTGCTAAAAAAAAGATATTGAAAAATATGAATTTTGTCTTGAATCACATTAATGGAAAGGTGGAATGGTGGAATTATCTGCTACATAGACATTTCTGAATTCTTATTTTCATTCCTTATGAACAACATCTGAGCCTCCATTGGCTTCCCGAGTAAGCTGACCATTATGACTAGCTGGACACTGTAACAAAAAATGAGGTTTACATTGACTCATTAAAAGACACATTGATTTGTTTTTCAAAGTAATAGCTATGATAAAGGATCAAAAATAATTGTAATATTTTTGTTGTCACGTCATGAACAAGAACAAAACATGCCCTATCTAATGTGTACCTAACATAAGATCATAAATCATGTTTTTTTTACACATTAGTTTATTTATCTATATTGTTGACAGTTGACAGCCAGGTAATAATTTGTTGCAAACTTGTTGTCATCAATATTATTTATGTTCCGTGCAGGTTGTCTATTTTCTGTTAAAATTAATCTTTTCTACTATTTTCGCAAAAGTGTTATTATACTAAAAGGGATGGATACATACAGCTCAAAGGACCGGCACTTCATAAGATTTCTATAAAATATTTTTCATTCATACTGTTAATATAGTGGTGATTGTAACAGGCGCGCAACTAGGGGGGGCATGCCCCTCCCTTATGAAGGCTTGCCCCCCCCCTGCAGGGGGGGGGGGCAAGAAGTCCACCCTGTTTTGCAATTTAGCGACTCATGAATCCTGACCCTGAGCAAATTTAAGAGCTCTGATCAAAAAATAAAAAAAATGATAATTGAACAGTAGTTTAATGAGCTTATAGTTCAATCAGAGGAATGCTTCAAAAACAAGCTGAAAAGAAGGGATCAATAACAATGGTTTCCTGGGAAGAAAAGCTTGATCAAAATTATAGGAATAGCAACATAACAAATTGAAGTTTAAGCCAATTTTTTCTTTTGGGGAGGAGGGGAGGGGGCTGAAAACATGAACTATCTTAACGATAAAGTAAATTATTGCTTGAATAAAGGCGAAGACTTTGTCCTAAAATCTATTTTGAATGAGGGTGAATCTGCAAAATTCTATTCCTTCATAGCAGATTATACAACCAGTATCTTTCATTCTGCATTCATTATGTAAAGTTAAATGTAGGTTATTGCAACTGTAAATTATGACTTATGAGGCATTTATATGGGACAGCAAGGAATACACCCTCGCCCCCCACACCCCTTCTTTTTTAGGCATTTTCCTGTACCTAAAAAAATTGTTTGATAGATTTCTTTTTTTATTTCATATCAGATTGGGTCATACTGAATATCCGGTTGGTAAGGTTAGTTTTTTTATTGTTTGAGTATTATACACATTTTTCTTGCCCCCTAAAAATGTTAAGGGGGGGGCAAAAAAATTTTGAACACTGCATTTTGCGTTTTTATTAAAAGTTACTGTTTATTAACAATCTCAATATTTTTAAAGGCAGCTTAAGGTGCCATAAATAAACGTTTAAGGTGCCATAAATAAACGTTTAAGGTGCCATAAATAAACGTTTAAGGTGCCATAAATAATCGTGTAAGGTGCCATAAATAAACGACCTGTTAATATTATTTGATGTAAAAATAGCTGGTATTCCGTGCAATTCTGTTCAATATTGTGAAACTCCGCACAATTCCGTGAAATTTTGTGAAATTCCGCACAATTCCGTAAAATTCCGTGAAATTCCGTGAAATTCCGTGCAATTCCGTGCAATTCTGTGCATTTCTTTGAATATCTAATTCCTTCCTTGATTGCAATAAAAGTGCAATTTAGAAAGAATTTCTTCATATTGGTTCCCAAGTTGGCATGGGTTTCTTTCTTTAAAAAAAGTGCATATGTAGTAAACACCCTACTCTCCATAAGGGTTCCTCAAACCCATATCTTTCTAGGCACAACTCAGTTTTACTGTGCTGCCCAAGAATGTAATGCAAGGAAAGTTAATTGCAGTTGTTTATACTCTGCGTACACATTGAAACCAGTTCTCTTTGGGCGGAATTTGTTAACAAGAATAGATGCATCAGTGTTCGTTTAGTATGCGAGGAGGTTAAAAGCATTAAATTTTGATAATTTTGATAATTCACATAATAGTTTCCTATAACCAGAATATTTCATTGATTTTTTATGTGAAAGATGGATCCCATGTCAGGCTATGACATCCGTCTTGTGTTTACATTACCGCCCAGAGACAGTACACTGCAGTACAAAAGATGTGTACACTTCTGAAATAACTTTCCTTGCATTATATCCTTGGTGCTGCCTATGTCTAAACCCGAACGCTTGTAAACTATCAATGCCAAACTAATGGGCACGATGTCATCACGGACATCAATCAATGCCAAACCAATGGGCACAATCTCATGAGCTATCAATGTCAACCGTAAACTGATTCACCGACAAAGGGTCAAACGACCCAGGGTCAAACGACACAGGGTCAAGCAACATAGGGTCAAACGACACAGGGTCAAACGACAAAGAGTCAAAAACGCGACAAAGGGTCAAACGACACAGGGTCAAACGACAAAGGGTAAAAAAATGCGACAAAGGGGCAAATTTTTTTAATTTTGACAGTTAGTATTTTTTATTATTATTTAGGATAAGGTTAGGTTCATTCTGGGCCTAGCGCTGCGGCTAGGACAGGCTAGGGGGCCGAGTGCTGCGGCCACATGGTCAATTATATGACTCAAAGAAGTTCGTAATAAGATTTCGATTCTACTGGAGACCACAGGAGGGATTTTATTTTCACTGGAGGGGTTTCAAAAAATGCTTTTTACAATTTAAAACTTTACGCAGGGTGATCTACATTCCACTGGAGGGATTCAGATGTCCTTCCCAGGGGTTTATAATTCCACTGGAGGGATTCAGGTATCCTTCCTAGGGGTTTATAACTCCACTGGAGGGATTCAGA